TTCATGTATTGAATAGTGTCACTGTAACTACACTTTATATTATATGAGGCATAATATCAATGCATTTGCTCTCTACAGCGGGACTGTGGCGTGCTTATGTCGCATGCCTATTTACACTTACACTTATTATTAGAGCAATTATGCCGCATTGCTTCTTGATTAACTGGATTTATCTGAAATTTATCTGGAACCTTCAGAAAAACCTGATTTTTCTTGTCCTTCCAGTAACTTTTCGAAAGCCTGTGAATCACTATCGTGAATGATTAACGTGCGACCCATATTCTGCCCGTATCCATCAACATCAGCGGGCTAGTTTCGCCAATGTTAAGGGTATAAAGGAACATGTGCCGATGCCGCCTATCGATGAGACGTTTGCAAACTATAGCGTCTGGACGGGTATCGACACTGAGAGCTCCAACCCTGTCATCCAAACTGCTTAAAGCGACATCCTCTTTGAATGGCAGAGCATACATGGCAGCTGGTCAGGCCGGCCAGCCGATCTGCTGGGGGATCTCAAACAGGGATATCCCCTGAGGGGGTTGCGGAGCTGCGCCACACCACTGACCTTGCTCTCCGGGCCACTAAACAAACGAAGAGGCATCTATGGTTGAACCTGGCCGATACACTCTCAGAAAAAAAGGTACGAAAGCTGTCACTGGGGCTGTACCTTTTCAAAAGGTACACTTTTGTCCATTTTAGGTACTAATATGTACATTTTAGGTGTTGATATGTACATTTCAGATACTAATATGTACATTTTAGGTGCTATTTTGTACATTTCAAGTGTTGATATGTACACTTCAGATACTAATATGTACATGTTAGGTGCTATTTTGTACATTTCAAGTGTTGATATGTACATTTCAGATACTAATATGTACATTTTAGGTGCTATTTTGTACATTTTAAGTGTTGATATGTACATTTTAGGTGCTAATATGTACATTTTAGGTGCTAATATGTACCATTAAGGTACGAATAGGCACCCTTTAGGTACAAAAGTGTACCTTTTGAAAAGGTACAGCCCCAGTGACAGCATTTGTACCTTTTTTCTGAGAGTGTATGAGGGAGAAAGAGAAAGGCTTTCTAGTTGCTGGTTTCACCCTCTGAACTTTTTGGCACCTCCGTGGAGGCAGTGGTTGGAAAGTTCAGAGAGGTGAAGCTGCGCAGACAGACCCCTCCAAGGAGGAATATGTAAACAAGAGAATTCCCGCAAGAAGAGGGATCTGAGGGAGGTGATCCAGCACAAATGCACGAAGCATCGGTGATGGATCACCTTCCCTGCGGGCGTGAGTATATCGCATCCCTCTCCCCTCTCCTCCGACTCCGTGGCGCTTCTTACATCAGGTCTGAGGTTGGGCCCATGATGAGAACTCCAACGTGTTGTCGGGGAGTTCCCGAGGACACGTCTCCATTCCCTGAACTCAGGGAAGGAGGGTTACATATGTAACTGAGACGTTTTCAACATTGATAATAATAAGAAATGTTTCTTAAACACCAAATCAGCATTTTGCAATGATTTCTGAAGGATCATTTGACACTAAAGACTGGAGTAACAATGCTGAAATTTACAGAAATAAATGACCGTTTTAAAAAAATATTAAAAAATAAAAATAACATTTTCATTTTTGATTGTATTTTGATCAAATAAATGCAGCTATTGTGAGCACCAACTGACTAGCTAACTTGCATTACCTCTCTAATATTTCTATTTCTTTTCTATGATTGTAGGACCCACGTACCTACAAAATTCATGATCATATTTCATTCAAAGGTTAATGCTCCTCACATGCGGACCAGTCAACTAAAAACAGTACAGCTGGTCACATAACTAGGTACGTCATGTTATATAGACAAATCAATAGCAACAAAGATCAATGCAGATGATCATTTCCTTCTTGCTCAGTGTCAAATCGAAGTCCAATTATCAAGCCAGGAATTGCCTGTTCTACCTCAGGACGTAATACAAACACAGACTGCACATATGCCTCAATACCATAATATCAAGCTAATGCTTAACGGGTCGTAGAAAAGCTTCACACTAGTTATTTACACAGGCATCTTCAGAGTGGCTTAGTGAACATGCTAAATAATGAATTAAAAGATGGCCAAAATTCAAAAAAAGGTTCATGTCAGGGTTAGGTTTAGAAATGAGCTAAACATACAAACAATGAAAGTGTGAATATTAGAAGAAAAGAGAAAAAGAGTGAACAGAAAGAGATAGAAAGAGAGAATGGTACTGAAGGTAGGAGGTCCAGAGAAAGAGAGTGTGTCAGCATCCACACTTTTGACAGATGTGTGTACGAGAGAAAAACAGACAGTCAGTGTATCTTTGGCCCCTGCCGTCACTGCCCTCTACTTCCATTAGCCCTAGAAGCCAAGGTCACAGAAAGCAACCACACGCGCACACACACACACACACACAGCCATCCACACACGGGTCATGCTCACGCAAATTAAAATGCTCTTCATATTTTCAAATATCTTTTTTTGTTGTTGTTGTTTGTTTCTTTGTCCATACAATGGAAGCCAATAGTCACATAGAATATTATTTAAAAAAGTTAATTTTTTTAAAGTAAATGATGGCAGAATTGTCCATTTTTATAGAACCATCCCTTTAAAGAATAGTCTTAATAATAGTTTTAATAATAGATAGTTATGAGGATGCTTCATGAAACATATATTAATAATGAAAATAGATAGTTAGGAAGAATGGAGAACAACGTTCAATTCACCTGTTGGAATGTGTCATATGCTGCTTTAAAAACTAATACAGACACACACACGCACAGGCTTTATGATTGGAATGTGCAAGCTGGCAGTACATTTGTCACCATGATTGATTTTTCCACTGGTAGGACGCTGGTCTCCCACGTGTGTCCATGGAGAGAGACGTCACCAATACAGTCGCTTTCTCTCTGTCATTTTCACTGTCTTTCTTTGATTCTTCTACATTCTCTGCTGTACTGCACCCCTCTTTTTAGTGCTTCACACTCTTTATCTCTAAGTTTTGAAGACAATCTTTCAAGTTTTTATATAAACCATGGCATGAAGAGCCTGCACAATCTTTGCCCTCATTATGTGAAACTTAATGTACAGTAACTTGAAAACACAAGCATGCATTCCAGTAAACCCAGTACACAGCAATAATCACACATATAGATAGGGGTAGGAAAAGTGTGTCAATGTGTGTCCGTTCCCAACACAACAGCCCAATAAGCACTTCCCACATCAGCACAGGACTCAGTGGTCCCCTGTAAATAGGTCACTAACTGCTTGTGTGGAGATGTTACAAAATAGTAAATGATGTAGATGATGTCATCACCCTTTCCATTGGCTGATGAGGATGAGTGAAAGCTTTTGCGATGTCAACTAGTGCAACTTTTGCAGTTTTGGTATGTATACATGAGACTTTCGGGGAACTTAAACTGGAATGACAGTTTAAGTTAATGTAATGCATTTAATGTAAAATAATAAATTAATAAATCTGTAAGGCCCATAAAACAAATGTGTATTCATCAAATGTGAAGACTGTTTTAACCTTCAGATTAGGTTTTGGCAAGCTTTCATCGGTTTGTTTTGAGTATAATTCTGATTGCAAAATAAATTCAGAGATCTAGATGATTATATTTAATACATTTATATATACACATTTTTACTCATAAACTATCATTCAAATGTTTGGGTTCAGTAATTTTTTTAAAAAAATTTTAATGTATTATTTTATTCCTCAGGGATGCGCTATATTTACCAAAAGCCTAACCCTAACCCTTAGGCCGTGTGTATACCAAAGTGTTTTTCCATGCGCCTGGCATATGTTTTCAATTGTTTTTAATGGGAGCGCTGCATTTTTAGAACGCCATGAGCGTAATGAGGTGCTGAACTTTTTTTCACGCTGAAGCGCCGAGCGCCCGGCGTTTTTTATTGGTCACCGAGAGTTGAAAAATTTTCAACTTTGGATAAAACGCAGCGCTCACTTTTTACCCAGCCGTCCAATCACAATGGAGGAGGGGTGGGACTAATACCACACCTACCAACTGTCACAACATTCTTTCTGTACAACGGCATCAATTGGCAGAGCTAACTGAACAAAATGGATTCTGTATCATAGCAACAAAAAGTCTCAATGGAAAAAACGCTGCGCTGCCAAAACACTCTCAAGCGCCCAAAGCTCGGCGTCTTCAGCAGAGCGTCTAGCGTTTTTCGCTGGCTAAAAATGCTTTGGTGGACACACGGCCTAACCCATTGTTACAAAATATTCCTATTTCAAACAAATTCTGTTCTTTTGAACATTCTATTTATCAAAGAATCCTGAAAAAAGGATCAGGTTTATGCAAAAATATTAAGAACAACTGTATTTAATATTTCAAGTAATGCTTCTAGAGCAGCAAATCATCATATTCGAATGATTTGTGAAGGATCATGTGACACTGAAGACTGGCGTAATGATGCTGAAAATTCAGCTTTGCCAAAACAGGAATATCTTTAAAACATATCCAAGTAGACAAATGTTACCCTAAATTGAAATCAAATTTCACAATATTACTGCATGTTTTACTCTATTGCTGATCAAATTAATTCAGCCAAAAGAGCATAAGAGACTTTCAAAAACCGTATAAAATCTTACTGACTGCCAAAATTAGAACAGTGATGTATGTATCATATATTATAACATAGGAGAACTGCAATTAATTTGATTATTGGTATATTGCACACACAAATTTATTAGAATATAAATTATTCGAATTGTAACACGATTGACAGCCCTTATTTTCACGTTACTGAGATTTCTACAATTGTAGAGAAATCTACAATTACTTGGCTTTTTTGTGTGTATAGCAACAGAACCATAGGGTATAAATAAATAAAATGTCAAAAGCAATAGACCACACTCAGGAAACAGAAACAAAAGGAACAGACTGAATCCGGCAATACAGTACATTAGCATGAAAATGTGTATGAAATACATTTCTGTGCTGTCAAGTACTTTTTCATATTACCTGCGTGACTTGAGTGACCTTTTCTGAGACGTTCTGTGTGCGGTCTTTAATCTTGCTGGGTGCTATGATCTCGATCTCTGTGGGGGAAGGTGGTCTGAGATCCGAGCCGAAAGATATCGTCACCTGAGGGATGCGGCCAATGGTACGGTGCCGCATCAAATCTGAGTCTGAGGTGGAGTTTAAGTTACTGGGCTTCAGATCTGGAAAAGAAATATCACCCTCTTATCAGTTTTCATCACAGTAGTCAAAAACAATAAATAAATAAATAAAAAAAACATCACAGGGTTTTTGATTAAACAATGTCATTCCACGTGACTTGCACATCATCCTGTATGCATCTGCCAATTGCATTGCAGGTTACGTCACTATTATTATAAACCTACGAGTCATTTGGACACCTAAACAGAGACAGAATAAACTCTTTAGAGCTCGCACACACACAATCACAGTAATCACAGTCGCACAAAAGCATTGATTAGGACTACAGTTACAGAAATAGGTCTGTCAGGCCGCCACATGTGCCCATCTCAGCAGGGAACCAACCAACACGTCTTATTCTGGACTTCCACAGACTTAAATGATACAATTTAACATTGAATGGACCGCTTTGATATGCTCATTAAGCTTTGTGCTGCTTTTTGGAGTTGTTCCATAAAGTCCATTAGAAAACCATTCTAGAGCATTTTTATCAAAAGCTACTTCTATTTAAGCTAATTGGTTTTAGAATACATTCAAATATAATGTTTATTTCCATCAAAAGCATATCCTGTACTCTGTCAATGGTTCACCTGTTTAATGCTAATGGCAGAGTTTAATCACAGCTAAGAGACGAAAGAGCTGATCAAACAAGGCCGAATGCAGCAACAAGCTGACTGACACGCATCTGTTCCACTCAGTCCCGGCTGGGGGTCCCCGCTCATGTCTGACATGAATTATCAGACATATGACATGTGATTTAAAAAGGAAAACACTGCCCAGTAAGTCAATGTCTGAAAGAACAAAACAAGAACCAGAAAGAACCAAACTTGTTTTGTCATCACTTATTTTGTCATAAACACTTTTTAAAGCCAGTGATGATTTACGACTTTGCCGTTTTCTCCACTGTAAAAGCCTGTTATAGGAAACAGTTTCAGGTTGGTAAACATACTGACACAGTGGCTTTGGAAGACCAAATAATTTGCACTCTATTTGGAAAGTTTATTATAGAAGCTGGTTTCCATCACTGAGGAATCAAAAAAGGTCTTTCTCACTTTACGTCTCACAATTACGACTTTAGTTTTACTCTTAAGTTAATATCTTCCAATTAATTGCAAGTTTATATCTAACATTGCATTGTTTTGTGCATTGTTTATTTATGGTTTTATGGTTTATGGATAATTGTTTACACTTTTTATACAGCACTTTGGCCAACAGCTGTTGTTTTTAAATGTGCTCTATAAATAAATATGATAATATCTATCAGTGACTTTTACTGTATTTCTTATCAGTTTGTAATTTATAACTGTTTTCTATTTCAAAATTTAATTCCTATGATTAAAAAAAAAATCTGCATTATTACTCCAGTGTCACACAATCCTTCAGAAATCATTCTAATATGCTGATTTTCTGCTCAAAAACCATTTCTTATTATTATCAATTTTAAAACAGTTGTGCTGCTTCATGTTTTTTGTGGAAACCATGATAATTTTCTTTGATAATTACAATGTTCAAAAGAACAACATGTTTTTAAATATAAACATTTTGTAACATTTTAAATGTCTTCAATATCACTTTTGATCATAATGCATTCTTGCTGAAAAAAAACAACTTATCAACACCAAACTTTTTAACAATATTATATAAACAATTGGATTAATGCATGAAATATTCCAAGACTTTATGTTAAGCCCTTATTTTATAATGGATTTCTATTAGAGAAAATATGTTTTTTTTATCATAGCATCATCCTTTTGCTTGTGGACAAACTAAGAGAAATTTTGTTGGATTCTGTTTTGTTGATGGATTTTTTTATTTCAATTCTATTTTTTGTGAATTATGGCTTTGTTTGCACTAAATGTTTATCAAATTAAACGTTTTGGTACAAATGAGTGAGTTTTAGAAACATCCATGAGAATATATAATAATGACTATTACTTGATAAGCACAAAATTAATAACTGTGATCTGAGATATTATCTTAATTTGTTCAACCAACCGGAAAATCACACAGAGACAGGATGTTATGTCTTGATGTCTTTCTACCTTCAGGCTGTCTGATGAGGTAGAAATAATAAAGTTTTGCACACAGTCATGTTTCTGACAGTACTAAGAACTAGATGATTGCACAAAACAAACATTCATACCGCTCCACTGGTCCCTCATGCCGTCGATGTCATGCAGTGAGGATGCCCGGCGCAGGCTGCATACGCTCTCCCTGGAGTGGCTGTGTTTGAGAGGGGGTCCGCCAGGCTCTAGCCAGTCTGAGGGCCGTGAGAGTGGGGATGAGAGGGAACAGGAGGTCTGCTGAATCAAGGCCTGGGTCTCTGATTTCAAGCAGCTGTCTGGAGACATCTGGAGGTCTTTCAGGGCCACCTCCTCATGAGAGGGCTGCAGGACACATGGAGGGGAGTTGTAGATCACATATCTGTGAGAATATGAACTTATGTATTGTATATGCACGGATGTACCTGTAGGTAGTCCACCACCACTCCTTCAAAGTGGTCCTGAGGGAGGGACGGCTGCCGTTTGACACGGAGAGAGGGCATTCTAAGCCTCATCTTGCGTCTCTGACCTGATACAGAAACACAAGTTTACATAATCAAAGAGGAAGATATTTTTGCGCAAAGCTCAGAGGACATGACTGGTGAGAAACAAGTTCTAGTCTTTCTGATTCTGAAGTCTGGCGTGTCCGTTTAGTAACGTCTGATGGGCACAGTGTGTTATAATGAGGAGATCTCTTTTAAAACCTGTGAAGCAGGAGACATTTCTCTCATTTAAACACATTGCTGTCTAGGATAAACTAGATATTAAGATATTAAAGAGATTTCTTGTGATTTTTATATGCTAGAATAGTGGAACTGAGAAAATGTGTTAGATAACTAAATATAATATAATAATAATAATGTTTAAAAACATCATACATTATATACTATAACTTGAAATATGTTTCATTAATTATAACATTTTAAATTATTTTATTTGTCAACATATGAAGAGTTCAGATGCAAAAGCCTCTAAATGCCATTTGCAATTTTCTTCTTTAATGATGATTTTTATCAAACTTGTATATTTAAGTTCAGTAATTTCACTTAAATAACAATTAATAGGTAATTATCATTGCCATTTAAGTGAACTCACTGAACTTAAATATACAAGCTTGATAAAATCATCATTAAAGAAGAAAATTTCAAATGGCATTTAGAGGCTTTTGCATCTGAACTCTTCATATAATATAATTAAATGTAATGACAAAAATGTTACTATTTTAACTTAAATCAGTTTAACTTATGTCAACTAAATATATCATAGTGTCTAATATAAAAGTATAATGCAACACTGAACAGGAATAATGGGGCATGTATACACACACACACACACACACATTTCTCATATAAACACTGACACCAAAATCTGAAACCAACTTTATCAAATACTGCCTCTGGCTACACCTACACACCAACCGTCACACCAAACACAGCAGTCAGCAGTGTGTTTTCCTTATAAGGCTGTTACAGAAAGGGCCAGAATCTCAGTACACACAGAGAAAGGGGGGACACGCACCTGCCTGTAGCCAGCTGTGTGCCATCCGCTGTTTAATGCCACCTTTTTTCATAGATGGGTCTAAAAGCTCCTGGAAGTTTAGGATGAACATGATTACGACTCCTTCCTCATTCTTTACTGGAACGACATCAACTAAACATGGCCTACACGCCCCTGAAAGGCAGAGAGAGAGAGAGAGAGAGGAGGGAAAGAGAATTAATGTAGCTAACAGGGATGTCAGCTAGCAGAGATGTTTGAGTACAAAATAAAGCAGAAAATTAGTTTAGTTTTGATGAAGAGCTGTTATGAATACCAGTGTGAGGGCTGTGAGCCTGTGAGTAGTCTAAACACACTCACACTTACACAAACACACACAATAAGACACCCACCCACACACAGGTGCTGCCGTTCAGGGGGTCTGACTTTGAGTACACATAAATCTAAAAGAAAATAGGAGAGACCATGAAGTGCTCTGTAACACATTCTTTCAGTGTCTCTGTATTTTTTTCACTATGTCTTAAAACTTTGATATAATGTTTTATTGACTATAAATTAAAATGGTTCATAAATCTACTCATCCTAAAACTGTGAACATTTATTTCACGTTTAGAGAGTGCTGTCTGCTGTTATTATCTCACCACAGACAGCATTAATGGAAATGAAATTAAATAAAATATACAATTTTAAGCCATCACCCATCTCCCCTTTATTTCATGTTAAACAATTCAATATAATACACATACAGGAAGTATTTTAATTAAAAATAGCAAATAAAATTTAAAAGGGAATACATAAAGCATAAGCTAACAACTCTAAAAATTTGTGACGAATGATTAAACATTAGTCAGTTATTTTCACATGCTCCATTTAAAAAAACCTTTGTAATGATGTACGATTTGTTGGAATCGGATAAGGAATTAATGAGCTACACCTGTTTGAAGTCAACAAAGTCAATTTTGAGAAAGATCTAGGCTGCGTCTGAAATCGCGTACTATATGAGTAGGTACTATATTTAAATAAGAACATACTTCACGACCATTAAAAAAGTGTGTTCTATATAGTATGAATACGGGTAGTATGAATGAGCCCGGACGTACTACATGCGCCATGTTGTTGTCGCGTGGCATACGCTGTCACAACAGCGCGAAAATTTAAAGAGCCCATTCCAGTGACAGCACCAACTTTGCGCTGTTTTTAGTTCTGCCTTCTGTTTTCATCTGCGTTTTTACGTTGTCCGAACCAACAATCAAGAGGAGGCGTCGGTCACGCCTTTTGTGGAGTTTCTCAAATAACATTTATTTGCCTTATAAATTTTACCTCATAAAACACACACTCCTATGAGCAATGACAGATGTTTATTTTTGACAAGGAAAAGCCATTTATTTGCTTGTGATATTACCATCGATAAATAAACATGAATGAATCAATAGAGATACGAATGTGTGTCTGTGTTTATCTCCTAACGTTACAGCCGTGTCTCCGGTTTCTGCCATTTTCAAATATATCAACAACAACTTCTCTCCCGTGGCATCATGGGATAGTAAAGTGTCCATCGTATGCGCACTTCAGAATCTCGCCGGAAGTAGTAGGTCATCCGGGTACTTTTCGCCTACTGTTTTTGGAATTCTAGGATTTCGGACATAGTGCTCGCGTACTGTTTTTCGCATACTATATAGTAGGGAAGTGTTCGATTTCGGACGCAGCTCTAGTTACAAATTTCTGAAGTTCCAAAATAAAATCACCTAGCAACCATACCTTAAAATCCCTGGTAATAACAACAAATTTGGCACACACGAAGTCAAAACCTATATCTATATGTACAACTTTATTGAAAATATTTATATAAAGAATATTTAACATTGTTACCTAACTGATTTTTCAGCTTAACAGTCAGTTTGAGTCACTGGTTAAAGGGCTAACCATGTAGCAAAATTATGCAACAAAACATGCAGTCACCGAGAAGCGAGCAGGGAAAACTGCAATTTTTGGGAGATACACTGGGTGATTTCAATACAAAGCATGCCATTAGTTTTCACTGTTAATGTAATAGCCAAGAATACTGTCTAACACTTGATGGCTGCTCTGTCAAGTTGTTGTTGTCATCAGTTAGAAACCTGGGTGTGCTCTTTGAAAGTTACATTTCTAGTGTCTGCCAAACCGCATTCTTACATCTTAAAAATATATTCAAATGACAACATATGCTCTCAATATCAAATGCAGAAAAGTTCATTCATGCATTAATGACCACAAGGTTGCCCTGAATTCCAGCCGGTCCAAGACACAGCCACTAGAGTTCTTACTAGAACCAAGAAGTATGACCATATTACCCTGGTTCTGTCAACACTGGATTGGCTCTCGATTAAACATTTTCAAATCTTGCTGATTACTTATAAAGCCCTGAATGGTGTAGCTCCTCAGTACTTGAGCGAGCTCTTAACGCATTATAGTCCTTCAAACTCATTGCGGACCTAGAATATGTAACGACTTAGACAAATCAGTAACAAGTATTTGTTATATTTAACAAATAATCTTTTAAACCCCTCACCAACCACAAAACAAGGAGCCAAGGCGAATACGACAAACCCCTAAAAAAAGACCAGGCCTCTGGTTGCCATGGTTTCATGACCTGAAAGAATGCAGACCCTTTGCTCTAATAGGAAAGGACAGACACATCAAGCAGACTCTTCTGCATTCATATATAGACAAACTGTTCTATAAATGAACGTGCATTATTATTATTATTGTTGTTGTCTTGTATAGTGTCTCTTGCATTTGTATTAATTTCTGCATGCTTTATAAGAGAACTACTAGCTAATGTAATCCCACCAATATCGTGTCTCCTATCCAATTAATGCACATTTAACGACTCACGCTTTAGTGGACATCACCTCTTCATAGAATGCAGTGTGTGTTTGTTAAATTATTCAGAGTATAAATGGACACAAACTGCCAGACCCATCCTAACCATGCTCCATAAGAGTCATAAAATCTCCCAACAGAGGATTTTTCCCGCTTGGAAAATCTACCTTTCTCATTGGTCAAGCCCAAGCCCCAGGCACAAGTTCCTTCCCCTCTTCCTATTTCTGTTGGTCGCTGTATGTGTGTGGTGCAACCATGCGGTCACCGGCCCGGCAGGCCCAACACATCAAGCCACCTTCCTCGACCATGATGGTCACTAACCATTTTATCCATGTTTTACCCATAGACCCACCATTTCCCAGAACCTACTGCTCATTGTTAGTTTACTGGTTTCAGCTGTGTCTTGTTAATCATATCAATACCCTGTCTATTTAAATGCCTTTTGCCTTAATTCAGTAAGAAGTCTTGTTCGTTTGTATTTGGTTAACATTCTCCGTCAGCATTTCAAGTTTATCTCTGCCTCAGTCTAGGAGTCTTTGTTCCTGTCTGCACTTGATTGTATTCGTGTTCAGACTGATTACATGCCCTTGACCCTCTGCCTATTATGGTATATGATCTTGGATTATATTTGTCATTAAATTGCGTTTGGATTCTCACTCTCACTTTGGTCTGCTGTCTTGCCACAATTTAGTTAATAAAACTTGTGCAAAATACATATTTGGTTCTGATTTTCTGCTTGCCGCAAAGTCAATTTAACAATTTGTGGTCTCGTTACATGCTCTATGAAAGAATTATTTTTTCTGTGGCCGTGAAAAATTAATTTATAAGAAATTAATGAATAATCAAAATTGTTCGCTGGATGAACTGATTAATTGATTGTAAAATGAATTTAGCTACATCAAGCTAACCAGATTAACATTCAAATAGGATGATTCATAATTAATTATATAAGTTATGATTAATTATACATTTGTCCTATTTTAGCTAATTTGTTACAATTATCAAAACTCGATATATTTTAAATCTAGATTAAAACTAGCATTCACATAATGCACATTTCTATAATTCAAATGCTATAGACCTTATGTAGCCCCGCCCCTTTTCAGCGCTGTGCTCGTTGTCTTTTGACTTCTGGTCTGTATTTTCACAGCGATCTTGCATAGGTATGAATGAACTGCTCGTGAAAAAAATCCCGGTCGACATTTGTTAAGACATCTGCTTTACAATGCTTATGATAAACATTATAATGCTCATGATAACTTTTGTTAACTCTACAATTATAGGTAAATCCACTTCACCAGCTAATTACTCTTCGACACCGATGCCATAGAAATATACAGAGCGACCGCAAAAACGGAAGTTCAAAGACAATATTTATTAGGAGACCAGGTACACTTCTCATAACATCTGATGTACTTGCCATAATGGCATCTTATATTATTATTCCTGTTTTATCCTTATCCCAAAGTTACAGTAGTCAGCCAGATCTGGTCTGTTTTCAGATGGTAGACCTGCACATAGAGACCACAACACCAAGAATAAGAGAAAGAAGACCTATGAAGACCATCAGCACAGATCCTCAGCAAAGACTACAAGAACCAGACAAGCCCTCTGTCGGAATGCCAGCATCTTCAAGTAGAAGGAGATGGATGAAATATCCTGACTGATATCAATCCACAACATGACTTGTGATGCAGTCTGGACTCATAATCACACCATGCTTGTTCATTTGGCAAGTAGATAACAGATCCCTCGATTGAGCCTGGTTTCTCCCAAGGTTTTTTCTCCGTTCTGTCGCCTGATGGAGTTCGGGTTCCTTGACACTGTCGTCTCTGGCTTGCTTAGTTGGGCACACATAATATTCAGCAATATTATTGATTTGACTGCACTGGCACTGAGCTGGATGGTGGCATCAATGGATGGTGGAGTTGCTTTATAGTTAAATTGAACTTGTTTCATAACTGATGAACTTTACACAATTATTGAACAAAACTGAATCAACACTGAACTGATTTTAACTGAATAATGACCATTTAGAGCTGCTTTACAGCAGTCTTGAAGTCTGTTTACATCGTTGAATTATTATTTTCATGTTTATCACTGTAAAGCTGCTTTTAAACAATCTGTTTTGAGTTCTATATAGATAAAGGTGACCTGACGTAGAATAGAAAACAGTTATTTTACAGTCAAATAAATACAGCATTGGTGGGCATCTGAGACTTTTTCAAAAATATTACTGTCTCCTAACTTTTAAGCACTAATGTAGATGAAAAACTTGTGCTAACAATCTGCTAATCTGAAAAACTTGTGCAAACAATCTGGTGTTACAATCTGTGCTGCTGTCCTTTAACATCCACATCCGGATCATGGATAAGTGATTTCACCTCTGGGGATCATTTCTAATTGCTGAAACTCCCTGGACTCCAGAACTCTCAGACAAACACACAGATGCACTGAGAACATTTTGAGTTCACTTATATTTTGGCTATGATGTTTTCATAGAAATCAAAGCATCATGAGTTGTACTTTTAACCCAGGCATGATGAAGAACAGCAAAGTAATAAAGGAGATAAATAAGACAGAGCAGAGAGAGTCACAGGAATGAGAAGGGAGTGATGGTAAGGAGGACAGAAAATCCAGAGAAAGAACAGCATGATTAAAGTCAGCCAGACCCCCCTCAGCTCTTGACTAAAGCAGGCCATCAACCACTCTAAATATAGACCCTGCCCTCACACACACACACACACACACACACAAAGGTGCTGTTCAGTCTCCAACTCAACTGTGACACAGATCGAGATGCTGTATCCACTAAAATATGTGATGGATAAAAAGAACAGAGGGGCGGCGGCATGTGTGAGCATGTGCATGTCAGCCTATGTGTGCATCTGAGCTCAGTGCATTAGTTTAGTGATAGGGTGCGAGTCTCTGGAGTCCTGTTGTCATGGTAATGTTATCAGTGCACTGCTTCCCGACGGAAGGAACACCTGTCTACTTTCTAGCTGAGGTACAATGAATGCACACATGCACAAACACTGGTTTAACGACATTCAGAGAGCCAATGACTCCATTCATTTGTTCCTGTCTGAGGAGACTAAAGACATAAACACAGAGTCTGTGGGATTGGTGGCTCCGTCAGACACACAGGCCCTCAGCTGGTCTCTGTAGTCCACCAAATGACGATAACTATAACAATAACAGTAAATATATAGTTCTAAAAATTACTCTAAATATAGAAGAATAGAGGATTCACAACATAACGATAATGGCACAGAGAAAAAAATCCTGACAGGACCACTACTGTCAAAGATGATTGACAATTAGCACACAGTTTGGATTGGCTGTGTGGTTCTGCCCTGGGCAAGAACTCCCTGCCCCTCCCTGCATTTATAAGGGCAGGGAGCGCAGCCATAATCCCCTTATTGGGCAAACAGAACAAGCAGAAACAACATAACCGCATTACAGATATCAATAATAACAATAAATTATTGTAACCGTAATCAAGATAAATGACAGTATGATTTGAAGAGTAATGCTGTATCCGAAGGCTAAGTCCTGACTGTGATGAGAGTAGGATCTGGGGATAGAGGAGGGTAATTAACTCCTGAGAAACGCATTAAAGCTGCTGATAATAATACAGAATGGGGCCTTATGCTGTGATAGAAGTCATATTCTTATAAGTATCAGCTGAGAGTAAGCTGATGCGAGCCTGACTTGACCAGCCAGAACTGGTCCTATGCTTGATTATCGCAGAAATCACTTTCAGAACAAATTTATTTTTCAGCTCATGAATGATAAAAACATTGACAGCCAATCAGAATCTATCCTGCTTTAAGAGCTCAAGCATTTAAAGTGGTCCCCGACAGAACTGCAGCACATGCTTAGAACAAGCAGAACAATACTTTTACTCTCCATGTTTGTGTGTGCTCAATGACAGGTGAGGAATACATATTTCATAAGTGTCATAGCTGAAACTGAAGACTGAACTATAACAGGAAGATTTGTGGAGATGGTCCCTCGGTGCGTTTACAGTGAAATGCTGGTGACGATTTAAAAGCGGCCAATAAAAACCTTTTTCCTAAGTTCCTTTGAGGCAAGTCAGTTCAGTTGGTGGTTATCTTACACTGTCCCTTACACTCACCAAAGCATTACATTTTATATATATATATATATATATATATATGAAGAGTTCAGATGCAAAAGCCTCTAAATGCCATTTGAAATGTTCTTCTTTAATGATGATTTTTATCAAACTTGTATATTTAAGTTCAGTAATTTCACTTAAATAACAATTAATAGGTAATTATCATTGCCATTTAAGTGAAATCACTGAACTTAAATATACAAGTTTGATCAAAATGATCATTCTAGAAGAAAATTTCAAATGGCACTTAGAGGCTTTTGCATCTGAACTCTTCATATATATATATATATATATATATATATATATATATACAAAGTATTTATTTGATCACAAATATAAAAAAAACAGTAATGTTGTTTATAAGCAACATACAATTGCTATGTATGTCAGAGGTCGCACGCCTCTGGAGCAACTAGGGGTTAAGTGTTTTGCTCAGGGACACATTGGTGTCTCACAATGGATTCAAACCCGGGTCTCTCACAGCACAGGCATGCGTCTTATCCACTGTGCCATCACCACCCCGACTTTTATACTTAATATATTTAAAATCAGCAATAAAATCTGACAACAGTGCTGACAACATTTAATTTTGCAAAAAAATGGACTATAAATATATATATATATATATTTTTTTTTTACTCTAGGGTAGGCATGAACAATACAATAAGTTCTACACTACCCATTTTGGTTTAATATATTGATTTAATATAAAATAATTTTAACTAACCAGCTAATATTCATTAAGAAAATAGACAAATCTGTAATTGTCTAGATTGACAATATGTTGAATCTGTCCAATTAAATCATTCCTTTTTTTGTTTGTTTGTATTCTATTTATAAAAAAAAAATATCAGCACATGAATTACTCTTTATGTAAAATGAATTAATGCCAAAAAATGCACAGATACAGATGTAATGACAATCTATCTGCTTCTAACGTTGATGCTGCACCTGCTGCTGATTGAAGAACATGCTGAATAACACTGACTAAAAGACGGGGAGGAGCAGAAGCCTGCCGCTGTTTTCATTTGTGTTTTAAAGGGAACTGAGGCGAGCATGAATACGTGTTTACAGATTACGGAGTTAATTACAATATTTAAAAAGAGGGCCTAGTGACATCTCTGGTTCAGACAGTGTCGTCAGTATCTGCTGTAGCTGCATTGATGTGAGTATCAGCACAATGCAAAATTTGTGAGTGAAATCCTTGCTAAGCCCAGCATACCTTCCTTAGAGTAGAACAGGATCTCCACCTTGCGCTCTTCTGACCCGAGCAGGGCCTGTGCCAGCTGTGCCAGGGCGCTCTTCATAGTGCCCGGCCCCACCAGAAACTGACACGTGCAGGACTGTTGCATGATCTCTGCCCGCGAGAAACCAAACATCTGACAGAAGCCCTCATTGCAGTAGATAATCCCACAGTTCTTCACCTGGGCGTTAGCAATCAGGAACTTACGATCTGGTCAGATAAGTGTTAAGAAAAAGAGTTACGAAAGAATAATTTATTGACATGGACATTTCCACTGTTATCAGGGGGAACTAAAAAGACATTTAAAAGTGCATTTAACACACACTGAACTTCTGTGCGACATGTTGTCATACTATAGGCCAATGAGGTGAGTAGTCACAAATTATTCTAAATTACTTCTTATTATTACTATTACTTTACATTTAAAACAACTTGTCTCAACCTGACATGAATAATTCATGAATTCACATTCACAATTTCTCATCATTAAGAAACAAACATTTTATCTAGATCAAGAGGGTTGTGAACAGTGTATTTAAACAAAATGTTTGAACGCAACATTCAAAATAACTGCAAGAGAAATGAGAACTGATAACTTTTATGTAACCGGACTTTCTTACTGAGAGTTATGTTTTCTTCTCGGTGTATTAACTAGCTCTTCTCCTCCACAATACAGGATACAAATAATGGGATTCAATTTTAAACGTGTGAGATAATTAGTGAAAATGCTTTTTTCACTAATTAATTAATTTTTTTTTTACTTTAATTTTTACAATTATTAGTCACCTAAAAATAATTTATTTTTAAATCCATAACTTTTTTTTCAGGTTATCAAAAAAAATCCAATACATATCCACACTTTGATTGAAGGGATGCTTTTGATGTGATTATGATCTTGTCGGTTTTATGTCTCTCTTTTTTCTTTCTCCTTCCTCAGCCTGTATAATACTACAGAACATTTTCTGTATTTCCGATGGCTGCTTTGATCTAAACAGGAAATCTGCTTACAGCTGCTATTTTTGCAGTCACACATCAGCTTCAACAGGTGGAGAGCAACAAAGTTCATCTTAAGACGGTTAAGATTGAATGAAAATAATATTTAGCTCCTTTTAGCTCCTATATATATATATTACCTGTGGCTCTAAGGACACACACTGCCTGCTTTTATCTCTGAAACTCAATGTTATTTCTCCATCTCTGAATGTTAATTGTGTTTGGTGACAGCAACTTTTAACGCCCCTCAGCATCAAACTCATTATCGCCTTTTTACTTCAGGAATAGAACACAACGCACTGAGATGGTTGCCTAGCAGCCGCAAAATGACACTATAGTCTTTACTGATAGTGAGTGAAAAGAGGAGCTGCAGGCTCACATTCACAATATCTACACGCACAGGCACACATATGCATGCTTGTATACTTAAAAGATGAATTATTATCAATACACACATTTGGTAACTGAATGGGGATATAATTGTTGCATTATTCCAAATAAATAGTTTAAGATCCACAAATAAATGTAAAGAGTTTCACAAAAATGAGTGAGGAAAATATTTACAAATGTGTTTTATGTCACAAACACAACTCTGCCTTGCATTCATTTGAATCATTTCCTGTGTACTTGTTAATCATTTCCTGTGCATCTGTGAATCATTTCCTGTGCGTTTGTGGATGACTGCATGTATTTGTGAAATGTTGTCTGTGCATTTGTAGATCCTTGCACGCATCTGTGGATTTTGAAACAATTCTAGAGTCAAGACGTGCATACAAATCCACATATAAATGGACACCACCCACCGTCTACTTAAGCCAGATCAGTCAGAATCAGATAACAGCCAAATTGCGCTGGCCAATCGTACCATGTTTTCACTACAACCAATCACGTTTGGCTTTACACTCGGGGCGGGAACAGTATCATTTTGCACATCTGAAAGGAACTGTATTCTAAGGGTGCTTCGTTCAAACTGAGCTGAAGTGTTGTTTGTGTGGTTAAAACACCTTGCTTCCAAAAACTTATTAGAGTTTAAGGCTTCTTTTTATTTCCATCAGGACCATCCATCCTCTCTACAACGGATGCAAGTGGCGTGACAGAGCACGTCAAAAGCAAATAGTACCCATTATATTATTTAAATGGGTGGTTGAATATGATTTCACTTTTCTAACTTTAGTTATCATGTGTAATCTTGCTATTTGAGCATAAACAACATCTGCAAAGTTACAACGCTCAAAGTTGAAAGCAAAAGAAGATATTTGCTTTTGTAGAAATCGTTTTTTAAGGACCATGGCTGGTATCCCTGTGGAGTATTTTGAGATAAAACTTCACTTACACAATCTGAGGATAACAGAGACTTATTTTACATATTAAAAGGGGCATAATACCACGCATTTAAGCATACTGTTTACACGCGATGCAACACGACGATTCATTGACAGTAAAGGGATGCCCTTTCTACTTTACCACACAAATGATTCGCACATTCGTTTTGACGTGTCCAGCGTAGACAGGGGTGAGATGATGTAAGACAGGGCACAACGTCAAGCCAGCAACATAGTGTCGGCCCAGATCCGGCCCACATCTGGTACACGTGGATCTGGGTTGACACTGGGTTGCTGTCTGGGCGGCTAATTATGCCTTTTAAAGCACAATCGTGGTGGCATATACACATATGTACCAAATATGAGCCTAAATAACCATCAGTGATTTAAAAGTACGAGCCTCAGCATCCCTGCAGCTGTACTGGGTTTTGTGAGTGTATATTAAAGCAAATAAAAATCTTGCAATGCTGATACATCTTAGCTCTTATTTTGGATGCTGCGAATAACTTTTACAATCAAAACTATTAAGTTTGATTCAAGAAATATTATTTGTGTGGTTAAGAGTTTTAACCGATATATAATGCATATCGCTTGTCTACTGGAAATGTCACTTTTAAATGCATTATATGATCTCTTTGGAATGCAACAACCTGTCACACATTTAAAAAGAACCCACCTAAATTTTTAATGCTCTATAGATCATCAAATCCATCATGAGGTTGAATCTAGTCTTAAATAATGTGACGCTTCCATTATGCATTGTTCCCATAACAGAGATATAAAGCGCTGTTCCTCAGGCATTTTCAAGGGCATATAAAATATAATACTATGGCTTGGCTTGATACACAGTCTAATGGTCTAATGAAATCCAAATTTTAAATTTTTTACTGTACCAATTTTAAGAGCGTTGTACTTCTGATTTGAGCCAATGAATGGTAAATGAATGAACAAAGATATTTCAGGCCAAGACTGCCCTGATTTGTAAACAAATCAGGATTGGTTGGAGCAAGAGTGTGACCCAGCTCAATGAATTCTGATTTGCTTATGTAGATAGTGGATGGAGTTAACTAATTTGTAGATTTGTATCCAGGTCTTGACTAGAAATGTCTCAAAATCCATAAAATGCATTTGGGGATCTACAAATTCAAAGGAAACTATTCACAAATGAATGCCAAGCAGGCAGAGTTGTGTTCGTGACATAAAATACATTTGTAAAAAAGGTTTAAAAAATATATGCAGTTCTCATTTTCTTTTATTTTTTATTTTTTGTAGAGTTTATGAAACAATAGAAATAGAAATACTTTGACTTCTGGGAAGAACACTCATTTAGGGCCATAAAGAACAGGCCATTTACCATTTGGTATAGGGCATGGATAAAGATTAAAATCAGGATTTGGATCTCAAATTTCAATGGGCTATTCTTCATAAAGTTAAAAATAAAACTTGTTAAAACTTGTAAACCTTCTGTTAAAAATGCTTCCCCTTTAGACTTTGAAAAAGAGAGTGGAAGGATCAAACATGCAGGACAAATGTGGTGAAATAGCCAACATAATTTGAAATATGAAAACTGATATTATGCAAATTTCATTTCATTTGTCCAAAATCAGGAAACATGATGGAATGAATAAAGCAGGTGCACAAAATTAATAAACACACGCACGCACATTCAGAGAAGAATGAAAATATAGAGAGACAGATGGTTGTTAGCAATTTTCCATGTTAGTCATTAGATTAGTTTTTCCACTGGATTTACATAATGTTGATAAAATAAGCTCTCTCGAATTGCTCTCACACCTGATGATCAACTGCCATGCAAATCAAATTTCAAACTGATACTAATGACTGACCAACACACTTCCAATGGTCGCTCGCTCTCTGACTGACATTTTCTCGCGAGTGCGTGTAGCCTACGACCCCAATTGCTAAACAAAAAATGACATTGCTATGATGACTACTACAATAACACATGTCTGAGCTATAAAATATCTTCTTACCTAAAGAAAGAAAATAAAAAGTTTTAAAACTTACTTTGCCCGTCAAATTTCCGGATGATGGTGTCCAGATAAGTGTTCTGAAGAGCGACGTGTCCCCGGCGCACAGGCATTTTCACGCGTGGACAGATTCAAGAACCCTCTTATTCTGGTTCTCTCTCTCTCTCTTTCAAGGACGACCGAGCAAGACAAAATACGATCATCTAGAACTCGTACACATTGTACAAGAAACAAGTGCTTAGCCCCAGCAATAAATACAACGGACACGTGAATGCTAAAGGGTTCCTCGCGAAAGTGAAAAATCGCCGAGTCTAAATGCAAAATAAAAGAAAGCCGGGTTGTTTGAAAGCAATTATGTCTTGCTTCGAGTTTTGGGACTCGAAACTCTCGCGCCGTCAGAAATGTCGCTGCGAGCTGTGGTAACGCTTGTATGTGCTCACTGAAACAGACGAAACATATTCTGAAACAAAAATATAAGAACAACGCGAGATAGCAGACCTGACGCCCGAGACCTCAGAGGTAGCCAGTCTGATGAAGCTCGTTGTGGAATAATGGTAGGTTTTGCTTTCACGGGGGAGGCAGTGGACACAGCTGTCACTTTTGACAGAAGGCAGATGCGCCCTCATGCTCCTCTCTCTCTCTTTCTCGCTCTCTCAGAGAGCGTGCGTTTATCTATGTATGCCCTAGTGGGATGCAGTCCACCAACGAGCACAACATTTAACACTATGGCAGTACTTAGTGTCGTACTAGCATTTAGCAGACGATCATACATGTTTGCGATAATTCTTTTCTTGATAACTGTTTTGTTTGTTTGTTTGTTTGTTTGTTTGTTTGTTTGTGAATATTATATCTTCATGTCAGGATGGGACGATTAAATAACATGTATATTTTGTCTGAAACTCCAATTTCTTGATATTTTACTTGTATTTGATATATAGGTTATCTCTCTCACAAACACACTCTTTCTCTATATCTATACTACTCTATCCAGAGAGAGGGGATTAAGTTCGCCGTTATTATGACAATCGACTTGATATTACAATATTTACAAAAAAAAACATGATAAATACATACATAAAAAATAATTAATAAATTACACTTTTTACTTTTTTCTCTCCACTGTGAGAGAGAGAGAGAGAGAGACACTTTGACTTAAATATCAATTTATTTACAAAATAAAGTGATATTTAAAGTGATATCTTATCCACAAATAAAAGATACAACATTTTTATTTAAACATAAAAAAGCAGCGGAAGCGCAATGGTTTTAGAGCCTCAGGGTGTGAAAAAGCATCTTAAAAACGCAACACTCGTTTAAAAAAATCAACCTTTACAATTTATCTTCACTTATGCATTCAATTTGAAGACAGAGAGAGAGAGAGAGAGAGAGAGAGAGAGAGAGAGAGATAGAGAGAGAGAGAGAGAGAGAGAATTTGAAAAAATACTTTATTTACAATTTTTCACAAAAACAGTTTCACCATTTACTAATTTTCCATTTACCTTTTATACCACACACAAAGTACATTAGTAGATGAGAAAAAAATATTTGTCCATCAATAACAGAGCACAAAGCCTCATTCTTGCACCATTTCTCTTCAAATGTAATAACATCATTCATAGAAGTATAAAAACGAAAATCAATAAGTATTCTGGATTTGACAGTGGCTAAAAACATAATATTAATATCTTGATCAGCACCCACTTCTATCTTGTTTTTTCTGCTCATATAGATTGCCAACTTCGCTTGACCTATAAGAAAATTTAAACACTGACAAATAAACCTATTTCTTCTAACATACCTAAAACCAATAATAAATACGTCTAGAAAAAGATTCATTAAAACTATAAAATAAATTATGTAATAAACTAAACAACCTTTGTAGTCTAACACAATCCATATAAGCATGAAAAACAGTCTCTCTACTAGAGAGAGAGAGAGAGAGAGAGAGAGAGAGAGAGATTTGCTTTTCAGACAAGTTTATTTTCTGACCACCAAAATAGTTTCAAACAAAAACAAAGTGTGAGCTTTTTCTGTCCAGGGCAACTTATAGCCTATCTGAGCAGAGCAGAACAGAACAGCATGCATCACTATAACAGAGAGGCCTGATATTAAGCAACACAGACTTAAAGGGGTAAGCTACTTCACCACTGTGGGCTTTCAATAAAACTTGTCTGCCAAACAAATTTGTAAATCGGTGCCAACAAAGAAAACAGAGAAAAACGCTGTTGTCTTCCCTTTTGCCAAATAGTTAGGAAAACTTCAACACCCATAATGCACAGGTTGCCATCCAAGGCCGCTCCCACCAGTCTGCGCGTCTGAATACACTTACCAGAATTAAATACCGCCTGGCTTTAGTAGGAAATACTGCTTACTAAACTTTTATTCATAATGGTTGTATATTGTTCCCTGGTGCAACTCAAAGAGTAAACGTTTAGCTGGAGTGAGATCTTTTCGGTTTCCAATGAAGGATCCAGTGCGTTGCAGGCAGTGTTTAAAGGCTGCAAAGAATTGTTAATATACAGAGAGAACGTTGCAAAGGAAAATCAGATAAACCTCTAGTTAACATTTCAAACAGGATGACCAAAAACAGTGTTTTAGTGCAAACGGTGAGGAAAAATACTGAAAGAATATGTCACATCCAATCATAGCCAAAGAGGCATTGCCTCCTCTCACGTACCTTTCCCCCATTCATTTAGTGACCACTCTCTCTTTGTCACCTCTCTCTAGTGGTTTCAGTAAGATCCCAGAACGGAAAATCCTACATCGGTGTCTCGCTAAATGAGAACACCACTGCTGAAGTGTTTTATCTGTCCCACATACTTCCAGTATCCCAGACCTGATTGCTTCCTAACCATGTACAAACAAATCGGAGAGGACAGACTCTGAGAAAAACAAAGTTCAAAATGTGTTGGATCATAATGGCAGCTACATCTCGTCTCGCATGAAAATTGCTCCACGTATATTAATATCAAATATGTTATCATCCTGTGTCACCACATCCAGTATCACCTTCCATACTAAGGTCACTCAAGTTATGTATATTTTTTTTAATAGGAGATAAATGTTGCACTGCTGGAAGCAGTCTTAACTTGTGTGTGAATGAACTGACAGAAATGAGGTGGTCATGGAGAGATCTGACACAGTGTGACAGGTTTAGCTGATTGTGACGTACTTTGCACAGATTCTCCGGGTGCCTGAGTAAAGAGGTGGCGGCGCTCGAGGGTCAGACTAAGGTTAAATAAGAGGACATGTTTGATTACAACCTGAACAACCTCTCTGATAGATTTCAGTGGTGCTCTTGGTGTCTGATGGGCACACCTTACATTTCATCTCTTTATTAATCAAGGGAAATTTGCTTTTATCTTGCATTTCACAGGCCTACGGAGCCCCTAAAGCAGGGCTGGGCAATTTAAAATCTTTCCTGCAGAGTTGATCCTGATCAAATTCATCTACATGTAGCTTTCTATACGCTATATTTTCTTTGAATTGTATCTAAGATTCTTTATGAATACTGGCCCTGACTTTTATTGAATTCAACTTTTGAGACATTTTAAAAATATAAATATCTTGGGTGATTTATGAACCCATTAATCGAGAGTAGTGGTTAAACACGGCCTTTAAGGCCCCATAACTAAGGGGAACGCAATTTTGTGAGAGCATTGAAATATAATTCTTCCCATTAGCTCCCTACTGACCAGATTCAAGCTGACATGTTGTGAAATTTTGTGAACAGATGTTAAATCACTGGGATATTGCTATTAGTGGGATATTGATAATGTTCCTACTGCCAGGACTTTCTTCATTGTTTATCAAGCCCATATCACCATTAGATCCAGAGACAAGCTTCCTATAATGATTTATTTCTTAGTGCAGTGTTTAACTTGGAACCAGTAGCCCATCCAAATGCTATCAGACTATCCGTCGCATTGTTCTAAGTACTCCTTTTCAGATATCTAAGGTGTTGTTAGCCTTCAACACTTCTTTACAGTACATCAGTGAGGACATCGTGTAATTATGGCACTCGGTTGCCCTTGTTTCAGAGTTGCCACACTCCAAATGACGCATCTAATATGCCCCAATTTCTTCATATAGGACTCAACTCAAGCCAAATTCTGTCAACTCAGTATGAATGTGAATGTCTAGCATTGCTGTCAAAGGTTTTAGTGACTATCTGAAATGACATTTTATTTCATGAGTTTTGATTTTGACATTTGTTGGCTCAGTGCTTTTTGAGGAAATCTACCCATCTGGAAAATGTTCCCAGATTAGGCCAGGGACAAGTCATATTTCTCAGCATATGTCTTCTAAATACACATGAGGTCTGGACTATGAAGTCCAGTTTCTGTCCATTTGCAACATGTGTGGTTCAAAAGTGAGAATGGAACCTTTTCACATTTACAAGTAAAATTTTTAAATAAAAGTTTTATAATAATTACCATAATAATACAATTTGTAACAAGTAGAATAACCACCAAAATATCAGAATTAAACAACGACAAGGTATGAAATTATATCACAAAGAAGGTAAAAATTCGTACTTAATGTTGCTTTAATTCTTACTTCTGCCAGCGAATACTGAATATTATTGACATCATATAGCCCTTTGTTGACCCAGAATGAGTATGTCACTTTGACGGTCCCAAAAAAAAAACATGCTGTTATATACTTGTACCTGAGATATTTTCAATAAGTAAACCTTTGAAAATATTTTAGGTTGAGAATGTTCTTTGGTTTTGAATTTCATTACACCTCTACCTAGGAAGTATGATTATCTTGATAGCCAAGGCATCGAAACCCTAAATAAAAGCAAACCTAGTTCTACTTCTACAGTAACCAACTGTGTCCTTGTTAATTGATCATTAATTGACATTGTTAATCAATTAAGGACTAAAGAAAAAAACAAGGGTGGGATTTTATTATAGAAATAAATCATGTTTTTCATTTGAGGCAAAAAGACCATTTCAGTCACTTTTATGCCTGTCATTTATTATGGGGATATTTTGTATAAATTGGCAACTAAACTTTTAAGGTCTTTGGATATGTTGTATCATTGTGCAGTTCGGTTTATACTAAATTGTAAATACAATAATCACCAATGTTAACAGAGTTGGTTAGTCTTCATTATCAATACGCAGATGTAAACATTGGTACCTGTGTATTTAAAAATAAATGTTGGGTCTAATTGCCTCTATATCTTTGCTCTCTTATACCCAACACAAACCTGTTGGAGTTTGTTCTTTGTGCTCACATGAATTTGCATACCCTCTCCATTTCCACTCGCCCGAACTGAATCTGGACAACAAGCTTTTTATTATGCCGCACCCAGTGATTGGAACTTTTTACAAAATGACTTGAAATTGCAGATCCTGGTGTCAATGAATATTTTTAGATCTTTCCTTAGTGAACTGTTAGAGGAAGACACAATTTGTAAATGTTTTACTGTTTTGATATGTTTTAACGTCTTAGTTTTTTTTTCTTAATAATGTTGTGCTGCTTTTCTTGGCCAGGCACTTTTGTAAAATAGATTTTTTTTAATCTCAGAAAGTTTTATCTAAATAAAGGGCAAAAAAAAAAAAAAAACTGACAGAGACGTAATTCCAAGCGTGGGATCCACACTCTGACAGTGACAGTGTCACACACACCTGTCAATCAAACATTATGCCCCCTTGACATGTTCACATGTCACTTCCTATTTCGTTCACTTTTGAGTCTTTATTAAACACTCAGAATGCATAAGCTGCAATGATTATGCTGTTTTGTTGAGAAGCATAATCATTTAATCATTAATCTCTTCTATAAGCAGACACAAGACACTACCGAATAAAAATTATTTTTTTTACTATTTTTGTTAGTCACCACAATAGAAGGGCATCCAATTCAGTATGCAAGAGTGGTAAGTTAGCCCGAAAACATAGCTCAGTATTATTATCTCACAGTAAAGGTACAGTCAGATTAGCTACATTTTACATGCAAAAAAAAGATCCATAATTGTCAATAAATCTTGACACAGAAGTCACTTTAAAACCAAATAGTTTTTTGTTTGTCAGTGCAGCTAATTTACAAACGTGAGCGTAATCTGCACAGGAAACCTGATCACGTGTATTCCTGTTGGAATGAATGGTAAATATGACTGCATCTTAAAACAATGTAATATGGTATCAGTTGCAAAACTCCATCTGTTCATATGATGGGTAACGCTATGTTAGATGTTTATAATGAATTTAGCAAAACAATTTTTTTTAATTGATTAAAATGTAGAATTAATATTTTCTATATGTCAATCAAGTCAACAAGCAATTTAATGCATTTTAAAGAGATGAGTTAGCTATTGTGCAAAAAACATTGTGCATACACAGTGAAGGAGGAAAATATGCATAAGCACTGCTGACAAAATCCATCATCCCTTTAAAACTCTCACAAAGATCTTGCTGTCATAATACCCTTCAGCCTTACTTTAACACTGACCATTCCGATTTAAAAACTTCTGGTTCCAAACCTGCACTTCTTCATCTAATACATAATCCTTAAAGACTACAATACATTTCAGAACAAAATCACTACAGTTTGCGCTTGACAAAAAAAACTATAATCCCCATGTACCCGCTCTGACCACTAGCAACATCATTTTCTACTTTCTACTTTCATCTTTCCAACTATGACTTTTTATGGCACATTCGGCGATAAACTAGTCATGCTAATACTCTTCGCCACAAAAAAAAAGACAGATACAGTAAAGAGAGAAGCCCAGGACGAGAAAGAGTATTGCTTATTGTTGCTAATGTAATTGTTCCCAGGAACTATATACACTAGGAGAAAATAAGCAGGGAAAGTTGGTAAGAAATCACATATTTGATCGCATCATTAGTGAAGAAGCTCTTCAATTGCAGCTGATCCAGTCTAAAGCTGATTACGGCAGATCCTTCCTCTCCGTAGTGGACTCTTTAATGATCTGTGAAAGAGATTGCACAGGTCAATATGAGCTGAAACAGAAAACACAGCAACAAAATTAAACAGATTAATGTACAATTCTCTAATGCACAGATGCCCAAACCAGGGCCTGCAGGGTAAAGTTGGCCCATGATGATCTTTGATTTAGCATGCCATATCACAAAATAAATGTTTTGTTTTATTTTTGCTTTGAAGTGTACAGAATATTAATGATTTTTTTTAAATGGTTACACTTTACAAGATTCCATTAGTTAACATGCACTAACAATGAAAAATAATTCTAAAGCATTTATTAATTTCACTTAAAGTACATTTTCAACATTTTGTATTTGTTTTGTATCAAATTTGTATGTGATAATATTATTTAAAATGCTTTAATGTCCATTGGTGCTAACATTAACAAACGGTAAAGTGTAACCAAAATATATATAAACTAGGGATGTCAAACGATTAATCGCCATTAATCACATCCAAAATAAAAGTTTGTGTTTACATAATGTATGTGGGTGCACTGTGTATAATTATTTTGTATAAATACACACACACATGCATGTATATTTAAGAAAAAAAATATTATTTATATATAGTATATATATGAAAATATTCCATAAAATATATACAAGCATGTGTGTGTATTTATATACATAACATAAATACACAGTGCACCCACATATATTATGTAAACACAAACTTTTATTTTGAATGCGATTAATTGTGACAGAAATGGATATAATGCAACATTTACATGTGGCCCATGACCCTCAAAAATAAGTTTTTTGTTGTTGTTTTGTTTGTTTGTTTGTGTGTTGTTGTTGTTGTTGTTGTTTTTTTTTGGGGGGGGGGCTTTGCTCTAATGCAATGTATGAAAGATAGAATGAACGAATCAACAAATGCAAGACACAATAGATTATGTCGAAGTGAATAAAAGTGAAGTGGATTTCAAAAACTTTAAAAGTTGATAAACAGCGTCCCCTAGCGCGTTTACCTCTCCGTCACGAGTCTCAACAGTTCGCACAACAATGCTCCTCTTCACATGTGCCTCGGGAGTCAGCTTAGTTTCCATGCTGGTGTCTAGCAACACACACGATTAAATAGAGAAATTTAAATCGAGCTGTAAGCTAATCAACAACTGGATGATGAATTACTCACCTCTAAACTGTAAGTTGGTGAAATTCTGCACTGGAACCGTGATTCTAGAAAAGGTGGGAGAATATTTATTGAATCCATCGTATTATAAATGAATTTAATCAATGTTGTTCATGCCATTTCTCTCCTCACCTGCTTTCTTCTCCTTCGAGCAGCTTCCGGTAGGTGGCAATTTCAATGTCCAAGGCCAGTTTTACATTGAGCAGGTCCTGGTACTCCTGCAAATGTCTTGCCATTTCGTCCTTCAGCATATGGATCTCGTCCTCCAGACGAGCCACGGTGTCCTGGTAACCTGCCGTCTCAATGGCGAAACGTTCCTCCATCTCTCGCAGCTGACGCTCAAGGGACTCATTCTTTAAGATTTGAGAGGATTTTAATGCGTGATTTCTGTGCTGCCACGTACTGTGGTCTACTACAGTCATGACTGAAATTTAGTAAGTTAAACTTAGTAAATTTGGTGGCAGGTCATATAAAACACTTACAGACCCACGAAGAGATTCCAAGTCACAGGTCATGCCTTGAATCTGCCGACGATACTCATTGGCCTCCTGCTTAGCTTGTCTCAGAGCCTCTCCGTTCCGATTGGCTGCATCAGTCAGATCAGCAAACTAATAAAATACATAATACATTTTTCTTATTTATTTTACTTATTTAAAGTAATACACTAAAACACGAAGCCCCGCACATGACATGCGGACAAATATTTAGGCCTATAGTACTGGTCAAAAGTTTGGAAACAATACGCTTGTGACTTTTTTGTTATATTATTGAAAGTAGTCTCTTAATCTCACCAAGGCTGCACTTATTTGATAAAAATACAGTAAAATAATAAGTAAATAAGAAGAAGAAATGATTTTAGAATGAGTTCTGAAGGATCATGTGACACTCAAGATGGAGTAATGATGCTGAAAATTCAGCTTACTGTGGGTAAGTTTATAATATAAATTGAAATGCGTTTTGTTTATAATTATCGTCTTTAACTATAAACTCTATTATATAATAGGCCTATTAGAAATAAAATATTCCTCTAAAAGAGAAAAGCCAAAGAGAATGCATGTGTCTGTGTGTTCGTGTAACCTTTGAGCGATACCACTCCTCAGTCTCCTGCATATTGGAGTTGGCCATGGTCTCAAACTGAGCTCTTATCTCCTTCAGGGCATTAGTTAAGTCTGGTTTAGACACATCCAGATCCACATGAACCTGTTGGGCCATCAGCTGCTCATGCAGCTCTCTCATCTCCTGCACAGAGGAAGTCAATCAAAGTTTTATCAATCAAAGTTTTATTTGCCATTTGTATAGCACAAAGACTGTACTGCATCACACTTAGAGTCACAAAACAAAGTGCACCAGTGCTTGCTAACCGTTTGTACTATATATACCCTATTTACATGAATTCACCATTTGTCTCACTGCGCAACATGACATCATGACTTTTGCGTAAACAAGTCAAGTGACGTGTTACGCGATTGCTAATGAGCACACCGGTCTCGCATCTCTCACGGAGGAGCGGAAGCATGAAGGGGGAGCGACTTGGTTCTTTTATACTCCTCTTTGTTTCCAGACTTGTAAGCTTCACGTCTTAGAGGACAGAATGTGTTTGAGAAGTTTCCAAGTGAGGTAATATAATGTTGTTGTTTTTTACTGCACGGTGTCTGATCAAGACAGATTTTTACTGTCCACACTGTAATTTTGCAAGTGATGAAATTGAAGTCATCAGAATCCATTATAGCATACAAATAGCCATTTAAATGAACAGATTTGAGACAGATATGCCAGTAAAATCTAAGAGACAGAGAAAAACTGAACGTATACAGAGATAGTGAGCAGATAAGAGTGTGGGAGAGATAACAAACCTCCTCGTGGACCTTCTTCAGGAAATTGATCTCATCCTGCAGAGCATCAATCTTCCTCTCCAGCTGTACACGGTTCAGAGCCGCTTCATCCACTTCCTGGAATCAAAAGTGAAATTCATGACGGCAATATGCTAACTCATGAATGAGATGGGAATGGAGTGGTTCTTACTTGTCTGAAGATGTTAAGGTTATTTTCTGCCTCTTGTCGTAGGGCAGTTTCATCTTGAAGTCTGGAAAATGGATTAAAAAAAAGTTACCATTCCAAAAATGAACAATCTCACGAACTAAAAAGGATTCTATCCTAAGTTCAACAAACAACTGTAAATTCATCATCTGGAATTGTTCAAAGCCCTTGAACAGTTTGCACTGAAACTGTCTTTTGGACTTTGAACTGTTTGGTTACCAGTATTATATGAAAAATCCTGGAATGTTTTCGTCAAAAACCATAATTTCTTTTCGACTGAAGAAAGAAAGACATGGACATCTTGGGTGATGGACATGGACATGGGGGTGAGTTTTTTTTAAAGTGAACTACTCCTTTAAGCAGTGCCATTGACTCACTTCTAAAGACAGTCATTTATCGCCACCTACTACCATAACGACCTGCAGAAAGATTGAATGTTCCCACATCAAAACTGACAGACTGTCTGGGATGGTTGCAGGACAGTTGTCCTCCCAACCCGGTCTCATCCCAAGACGTCATATAACTGACGTTTTGGGACGTCTTTTGACCATACGTCAATATTCGCCTTTTTAGGGCCCCCTTAAACGTCGGTAGATGAGGTTATGGGATCCTAACTCTACCCCATACCTAAACCTAACCCTAAACCTAACCCGTCACCTAACTGACGTTAAAGGTAAAGCGTCAGTTGTATGACGGCCCGGGATCGCCATCTACCGACGTTTAAGGGGGCCCTAAAAAGGCGGATATTGACGTATGGTCAAAATACGCCCCAAGACGTCAGTTATATGACTTTTTGGGATGAGACTGTGTTAGTCCTCCAGGTCTGAGTTTGGACATACATGACCTAGACATATAGAATAACATTTGTTTTAAAAAATACAACTAAAAATGCACTTGTGGTAGGCTTCATTAATGTTATAATAACTAACGAACCCATGAGTCCATGAGCTAGCTCACCTTCCAGCTAACAGCTAAAACATTTGCACTAACAACTTGAGTTGAAAAATATCTACACAGACACAAACATAATTTAACTTTGATGAGTTGAACAATGCAGAAATATCCATAACCACAATAAAGGAAGTTAAGAAAAAAAAAAGGATTCTGCTCTAAAATCTACTGTCTTCCTCAGGGCTCTTCATTCTCACATGTGGAATAAGGACTCAACCGAGCATGTGTGAAGTTAATCAGGTGATTTATAACTTGTTCCTGATTGGAGAAATTGGAAGTGTTACAATTAACCCATGTTACAATCATCCCCTGTCTTCCTATAAAACTTGTCTTTAAAAAAACACAAACAAACAATAAAAAAACAATACAGTATGCTTTGTGATGAATCAATTATGGCAGCTGTAATGAAAGGGTCCCAGTGGAGGGGACCTATGGAGGTGTGGTGAGACCTGCAGGAGGCAGGACAGGGTTCAATGGATCACTCATGCATTATTAACTGCTCACACACACACTGCAACAGCCACTCTTTCCCACGGGGTGGAGTACATGCACACCCTTTCATATTCTTATAAACTGAGCAGCTATACCTGACACAAGCAGTGCAATATACATCAATTCAAACAAAAATAAACAGTGCCTAGTATGAGCATATACAAATAAATATGTACATCAAAAATAATCACTTTGAATTCAGATACATCGCCAGACCTAATGCAACTTTGTAACCATGGTCCATGAATAAAATTCTATGTTGCATTGCTACTGATGTTCCATCAAATATTAACAAGGAATTACATAGAGGAATTAAATTCTCATGTCTGTTCTATTTGATAAGATTCTTTAAGTGCCATTGATTCAAATAAGTTTAAAGTTGAGGCCGAGGGTTTGGAATTTGATTGAAAAATGATGTTCTTCTCTCTCATACTAACAACGGGGCATCTGCACTGGGTGGGTTCAGTCTTTGTGGAAGCTGTGCTGCTGAGGTATTGTGCCCCTCCCCGCCCCCATAGTACTCAGTGGATCAGGCTTTAGTTTAAAAAATAAAAAGGCAGTGTGGTGTTGAATGAGCACGAAATGGAGAGCCTCTCATTGAAAATGGGTTTGGGTTTGCTATAAATTCACTAGAAACATTGTAGTTTTGGCAGTGATGTGAAAAAATGCTTATGGCGCTGCAGTTGTTTAATTTTAAGTGATTATCTACCCATAAGACAGCTGTACTCAAAGGCAGGTTAATAGATGGTGATTCTTTGACATGGCTTTTGAGCTGTTTTTGTGTCATTGTTCTCCTGTTGCTCTTAGCGCTCTTCTTGGCATGTTCTGGAATGCGTAACACCTCCACCCCAGCCAGACACATCTAATCGTAGACAAGTACACCCAATTTACTTTGATAAGCTGGTTAGAGTGATTTTAGCTTTGTGTTGTAATTTTTTTTCATCATGACACTAGTAAACCAAGGTATTCCTCACTGGGTCTCTTTTCATTTTTGAAAAGTGAACTGATTAAATGTATCGCTTTCAATATCAATAATAACAATAATATCAATATCAGTAATATCAATACAAGACAACTGGGATAATTTTGAAATGTAAAAAAAACAACAACATTATTCCTTCAATTTTTAAATTAATCCCACTCAGTATATTCTTCATTCACAATTTTAAAAAATCCCTCTTATATATATATATATATATATATATATATATATACATTTGGGGGAAAAGTAAAATATTTAAATTTGCTTTAAAAAAATGCTATGCATTTATATATATATATATATATATATATATACATGTGTGTGTGTGTATATATAAACTGTATATTGTTATAAAATATTATAAATATATAAAATATATAAAAAAGTGTTTTTAATATTCCCAATATATATTCAAATAATTGTTATAATATTTAATTTCACAATTTATTTTTCTTCCTGTTTTTTCATAATTTCTACAGACCCATGAAACTAGTATGAAACCCCTTGGTTTAGACAAAAAAAGGTGCAAGATATAAAATATTTATTATTTTTATGTTTTATTGAATTTTTTTCAAAGTTGCAAAAAGTTGAAAAGTTGAAAATCCACTCTGCTTAAAACTCCTTTGACTGGCCATAACACATCTGTCCTTACCTATGTTTAAGAGTGGCCAGGTCTGAGGCCAGGTTGTCCTTTTCTATCTCCAGTCTGGCTTTCCCAGCGTTGAGGCCGTCCACCTGTCTGCGAAGCTCCCTCAGCTCCTCCTGGTAGATGTCCCCCAGACGACTGGGCTCCTTCCCCCTCAGCTGGTTCAGTTCTGCCACCAGCATCTTGTTCTGCTGCTCCAAGAAGCGCACTTTTTCGATGTAGCTGGCGAAGCGGTCATTCAGCCCCATCATCTCCACCTTCTCATTGGTGCGAGTCTCCCGGTACTGGGCCTTCAGCAGGGAGTCCACCGAGAAGTCCAGCCGCTCCCCGCCCAGGGACAAGCGTGAGGTGGACATGGTGGCTGGGCTGGAGGTGAGGTGGCGCGGGCTGCTGTGGAGGGACAGGCGGCCCGTGCTGAGGCGGCTGGTGATCCCCACGGATGGGGAGCCGCCCGGTGTCCCGAAGCGCTTTCGGTAGGATGAGAAAGCACGCTGGGGTTCCATGGCAGAGGAAAATGAGACCGAGTGAGGGTGAACTTTGGGTCTTTATAGAGAAGGTGGGGGAGAGAGAGGGTCCAATAGGGAGGGCAAAGGCCAGGAGGGGTGTATGTGAGCCTGGAATTGTTTGTGCTTGTCCACCCAGTCTCCTGACTGCCTCTTTTCACTCTATTTGGTCTGTCTCTCTGGTGTGGGGTGCACCGTGTGTGGGGAGGGGACACAGCCAGACAGAGAAAATCCTATTCATGCCACTGCTGGAACACATACACACACAGCGACTGACCGTAATGGCACTGATGTTTGACTGTCACTTCAATTCTCTCTCACCCCATAATAAGGGCAGCTTCTGAGTTAATTTGAAGTTCCTCTCCTTCTCTTTCACAGTTTTTCTGCCGTTCCAAGATGGATTTTAATGATGTCACAGAACACTGCTGATTACGTAATTCTGATCTTTTGTGCTGATCTGGGAACATCAAACACACACACACACACACACACACACTTTTCAGCACCACTGATTCATATCTGTTTACCAGAAAAATATTGTATTGAGAGAATTTGACTTATTCAGCTTTACACAACTCATAAGGAATGTTTACCCTTGTTCACGCTCATCATCATGCCATTCCAAACCTGTATGAATTTTTCTGTGGAACATGAAAGAAGATATTCTGAAAAAATCCCTCCTGTGCTGCCATCAAATTCAAGTAAATGGAGACCAAATCTGAGCAAATATTTAAGGAAAATCTTGCCTTGAAAAGCTTGACAAATGTTAAAAAATGTAGCTTGAACATTGTGCTAATAAATGTATCACATATTTTAATAAAATAAAAAAATTCAGAAATCCAGTCAAAAGAATCAAAGACTCACTCTACTTGCTTTGCATCAGTATGTATTACTGAAGTGCAAAAGACACATGGTTTGGCTTATGCCTCGTCAGCAATTAGAGGAGTGTATTAGTGGCAGAGAGACTGAAACAACACATCCACCAAAACAGATTTGTAGGGGATGAGCTCATCAGCCGCCAACACTGATGACAGCAGAGTGCAGGATTGTTATGAGTGGATGGTCAGGTCCAGTGAGTGTTGAGTATATGTGAAGATGTTAGTCTATTTCACAAAGAAAAGTGGGGTAAGATGTGTCAGTGGGAAAGTTGTGTGTCCCTTTAATGTAAAGAACTATGCGCAATTGTGAACATATATTTAGGAATTACACATTCAGTCTGTGGTGTGAGAGGAAGTTTGCTGTTTTTTGATTTGTACACTACATAATATATTGAAATAATATATTGAAAGCAGTCTCTTGGCCACAGAGGCTGCATTTATTTGATCAAAAACACATTAAACACATTCATATTGTGAAATATTATTGCAATTTAAATGAACTGCTTTCTACTTTCACATACTTTAAAATGTAATTTATTCCTATTATCAAAGCTGAAATGTCATCATATTATTTCAGTCACATGATCCTTCAGAAATCATTCAGATAGATGATTTGCTGTTCAAGAAACATTTCTTATTACTATTATTATGGTTGAAATTAGTTGTGCTACTCTTGGATGAGTATGTATATATTCATTAAGTAAAGTATTCATTTCTTTAAAAAAAATCGTACTCACCAAAAAAGCTTTAAAATGGTAATGTATGCAGATATAAAACTATTCAATATTTAACATAAAATATATACAATTTTATATATTTTATAAATTAAAATTTCAAAATTGTGGAAAGAAGAGAGTAACATCATATTTCCCTGCAACATTAAGAAATGTAATGTAGAAATGAAATTAGAATAATAAGATTTCTTTTTGCAGTATTCTTGCCTTAACACCCAACAGCAAGCCAAACCTGCTTATCTGAAATACTCTCTATAGAATTTACTAGAACTTTAAAGCATACTTGTTTCTTTTTTTCTTTTTTTACAGATTTAGAACAGATTTTTTACGACAAATCTGCTGGCTTAAGGTTAATACTGTAAGGTTAATACTGTAATACTGTCTATTATAATTATAACATTGAATGTTAAATCAAACAATGTAAATGAGAAGTTATCAACTTGGTTAAAACTTAAAAGGAAGTTCTATTCAACAACTATTTATTTATCTTAGGTGACTGACTGTGTTTTTAAGAGTGTTTCTCATGATTTATTTATTTCTCAGCTATCAATTAAACATTTAAATCTGTGGAAATGTTGACTTTAGGCATGAGAAATTCACTGTAAATTTAAGCCAATAACATTTTAGCCCAGAGGGGTTTAATAATCCTGTTATACAGCATACTAATAATCCTGTATTCCAGCATACCTGTAGCTATTCTCAGCAAAAAAAAATGGTTTCAATTTAGCAAGCAGACTATATAATCGAGCAAACGCTTTCAGTTGACCAGAATTACTGACACTACTGCTTCAAAAGGAGTTTGTTAAAGCTGAAACCATGAAGGCTCTGGTCTGTGCTCTTGCTCTGTTGCTCGTGTGCAGCACTACTGGTGAGTTTATCTTCCATAACTGCTGAATACCAGATACTGAACAGGGTGAGATTTATTGTACTGGTGATTGGAATTCAGAACTATGAAGTAAACCTGGAAATGTTGTCTGAAACGATTGAGCTCAAAATACTGAAATTGTACTGAAATAGTTAGGAAAAATCAACAATCGACCATGTATATCTTGCTTGCTTCTGGTCTTTCTACAATTCCACAGTGCCTCATGGTTTGTTTGTGGTCATGTCTCTTTCATTCTCTGTGCAGTGCACTCCCTGCAGTGCTTCACCTGTGTGGAAGACGACTGCAAGGTCGCAACCCAATGCCCTCCATCAGCCAACTTCTGCAGGACCGAGGCCACCGGTACGTTCTGAGACAGCCCTTTCTCACCCCCAAGGCGTCAGTTGGGAAGCATTTGGACATGCTTCAATATCTGACGCTTTAGGCGCCCTTTAGCGTCAGTTAGATGACGCCCTAGGATCGTGTGTACCCTACCCCCAACCCACACCTAAACCTAACCGCGTCCTCTAACTGACGCTTTCCTTTAGCGTCAGTTAGATGACGCCGTAGGATCGCGTTGAATAAGTTGAATTGAAGCATGGTCAAAGGTGACGCCTTGGGGTGAGAATGCGTTGTCTGAGACATGTCCTCCTCACCCTGTCACTGCTATGCAAAACTATAGCTCTGAGACTCGGTTTAAAAAGTCAAACCCAAACTTATTCAGACACCTTCAACATTTCTCACATTATCACAGTTTATTCGCTATTAGTTTAGAAAATGGAAATAAAATATGACAAGAACTCAAGAGTTATCAAATCAGTTGATATATTCACTGGTTTTGGCCATCCTTCTGTTAGACTGTCTCACAAATGATTTAGGTTCAATAGCTGTCAGCTGTTAAATTTAAGTACACAATTAGATAATACCAATTTAGGTCAAGAATTTGGGGGTATAATCTGTCACCGTTTACAGCATTTTGCTGTCCTCACTTACATAACTGAACTAGTGTCCTGCAACCATTAGTTGTTAAAAAGAAATCAAAAATTATATCTGGTGTCTGAATAATTTCTATTTTGACTCTGTGTGTGTGCATATATATATATATATATATATATATATATATATATATATATATATGCCTATTTAATATATCTAATATATCTCTTTTCAGCTTCTCATTTGTCCCGTACATGTGAGGACACCTGCACACCTGGGGAAAATGTCCACTGCTGCGATCATGATTTGTGTGGATGAACGTCTTTGTGCAGTGTGCAAAAAGCCTTACTATGCATGAAGAATCATTTATCCATTATTAATCAATACATTTAATATGTGATCACTCCTCACCATTATAACGGAAATGTGAGTTTCATGAGTATGGTAAAAATGCAATAAAGGCACTTTAAAATTCTGCATAAACGATTTCCACTTGTTTTGCTTGTTGTTGGTTTAGACATGTATTGCTGCAGGTGTGTGAAACAATACAAGAAATAAATAAAATATATAAATCAGAAATATTCAGACTAGAAAGTCTAAATACAGAGTCCCACTGGGAACAAACTAGGTATTAAATAAAACTCATTTGAATTCTTACTTAAATTATCAACAAACTTTCAAACTTGGTTGAAATTTGACAGGGCAACTACGAATGAGACTTTAATCAAAATATATGTTCCTGAAAGAGTGGTGCAACTAACAGTGTTGGGGAAAGTTACTTTAAAAGTGATGCACAATATTGCTTTACTCCCTAAAATGTATCTAATTGCATTACTTTTGTATGGAAAGTAATTTAATAGTAATACTTTGGCATTACATGGGCTGCGCTTGCTTGCTTGTTATTTTATTAATACCAAAAAAAAAAATTATTCTATTTTTGGCAAATGTAAAGGCAACTAAAGGTGCATAAGGGAAATTAATTAGAATGAGATGCAAACTGAAACCTGTGGGGCGCAATTCAGACAAGAATGTTCATCACTCTTCAACAATAAAAACAAAAGTGAAACAAAAAAGTGATGTTTATCTAAAGTCTATTTTGCTTAATGGAATGGTTGAATTGGATTACTTATATCCCTTAATATTACTTATATATTAAGGTCAACAGTAAAGACATTGGTTAATAAAGGGAGATTAAATACATAAAGTATTTCTGTTTTAAGAGATTTAATTAGTGCAGGTTTGCGTAACGTTGGAAATTCAAAGTTTGCATTTCACTTTTTTATATTTTGATGAATACTGAATCTGTTTTTGTGTAAGATGAGTAAATGCCTGCTCACATTTAGTCTAGAACTACAATAGCCATCATGTTTACACATTTATCACGATTTCTCTCAACATGTGGACAGGAGAGCTGTCAGTCAATAAATGGGAAATCAAAGCTAACTTAGGCCGATTTGAAATGTAAATCTTGTTGTAAATTTAAAAGTAATTTGTTACTTTGCTAGTTACTTGGAAAAAGTAATCTGATTCAAACATGGATTACTTGTAATGCACAATGCCCAACACTGCATGGCCACTACAAGGCTTGCTGTAATTTATGCTGTTTGGTGTGTTTGGTGTCAGGACTAACATGAAGGAGCCGTTGTTGCGATCCCCTAATAAATATCTGCAGGGGTGACTGTGGTTGCCTCAGCCCCGGTAACTGGGGGAATGTCTGTCTGAGACGAAACATTTAAGAGAGGTGAAAAGTTCAGAGAGGAAAGCCAGTTACTGTACGAGAAGCATTTCCATAGACATGTCCAGTTGTTGCCTCTTCAATTCCTTCTCATTTTTGTTAGTCGATCTCTTCTTTTTATCATTGTGGCTTGGTTTCATTCTCTCAGGTTTGGAAACGTTAAACAGCTGATTCATGTCTTCAGTATGGGCGAACAGCAGAATCCTAATGACGTTTTCTCTGACTGATCATCAGCCAAGACCAGACTCTGAGACTACACTAATCTGTCAAACTATGTTTGTGCTTTTATGCTTGTTTATGGGTGTGCAAAAAAATAAATAAAAAATTTGCCAAGAAAATCCAGCCAGGTGCTCCGCTTAGAAGAAGAGACATTTGTCATTTGCTTCAAACGTTTTTAACAACTAAATGTTTGTTAAATGAAACAAAACTTTATAAATATAATGAATGACCATATATAGGCCTATATATATACATATATATATACATATATATATATATATATATATATGTTAATAACCTGTTATGAAATGCCACTAGATATCGAGATGGTGTGAAAGTACTGAAAATGTTCATGTTAAACATTAAATGTTTTTGGTATCATTTCGCATCAACTTTGGCAACCCTAACTAGGCCAACTGAAACTAAATAGCCTATGGAGTTATTGGGTGTCGTTTCCCACAGCATTAATATAAAAAAAAGCATTCAAGAATTCTAAAAAAAAAAATTCATTCTTTCTCGGTCACAACTGGTCTAACAACATGCGCAAGATCGACTTTGACGTCTAACTGTCAAAAGACCAGATGAACACCATGACAAACGAAGCCTTGCAGTGAACAGAAAAAAATGCGGTAAAGAAATAGACTTTGCATAAGTCACTTGTTTACGTGAGCCTCATTCCTGCCTGAACATAATGTTTCTCTTCGCACTATATTTCACTGAACTGAGAGCGGAGGGGGAGCAGACGCTATAAATTCAGTCACTCCTTCCTTGATACCACAATGGCGTGTATTCACAGAGAAAAGCAGTTAGTACTGTGACTGGCTTAGACTGACTCCAAATAGACAAAGACTGAAACTGAGAAACACACTGTTAGCAAGATTCACGGACAAACACACATAATGGGTTTTAGTGAACACTGAAAGTGATACTATATACTTTATATTCAAGACTAAAAAGAAGCATACAAGTTTGTTTTAGGCATATTATTTTATTGGAAAATATACACTGGACTTTGCACTGCAAGTCTCATGTCAAGATACATAATCATATACTGTGTATCTAACCTATTTGTTTGTTTTCTTTTGCTTATCCCAGGGTTCTCAACTAGACTTAATGTGACATTTTTCTGAGACATTTGGTACAATACTGATTTTTAGCTGCCTAAACAAGAACTAGCAGCTTTTCAAGATCATATTTGAGCCATTCAACTCTTTTGAGGAGGCCAAAATACTTTCAAAATAATATAAGAGGAGGACAATTTGTCCTGTGGTCAGTGTTGGTGTGCCCGTATGATGGACACCTGTCACTCAAACCCTGAGCTAAACAAAGTCGTCAAGCTGAATGGAATTTTGCGCCTGGCATCGGCATACCCTTTCATTTGAGCAAGACCCCATAATACATTTCCAAAGAAAGCGCGGCACCTTTTCAAACACATTTCTCAGTTCATCACAAACATTCCAAGTCCCGTGTGCTTACTTTCCAAGTATAATAACACTTTCCTGCATTCTGAAATACACACATATATATTTATTTATTTATTTTCCTTAAGTCCTTCATGCTCACCAAGGCTGCATTTATCTGATCAATCAAATTATATTTTTGCAAATTTAAAATGACGTTTCTAGTTTGCTACATTTTAAAATGTAATTTATTCCTGTGATGACAAAGCTTAATTTTCAGCATCATTACTCCAGTCTTCAGTGTCACCATTACTTGTCATTTTCAATGTGGAAAACAGATTTGCCATTTATTTTTATTTTTTTGTGGAAACCATGATACATTTTTTCAGCATTTATTTGAAATAGAAACCATTTGTAACATTATAAATGTCTTTACTGTCACTTTTGATCAATTTAACGCATCCTTGCTGAGAAAAAGTACTCACTTATTGACCACAAACTTTGAAAGTTAGTGTACATCAACCTTTAAACCGTTCTTTTTTTTTTCTTAACATAAATCTTTCTTTTACAACTCTTATTTTTCTTTCCAACACTACAACTCTGAATACATAGAGGTAAATACATCTCTGTGCAAGTCATTCCTAAGTGGCAGCAAATGTGATATTCTGTGTATACATGTATTACTGAGAATGAGTCAAGGCACTGGTCACTTCCTGTTACAACCTGCATTCAAATCCTGTCTACATGAGATTCTTTCCAATATCCTCAGGGAAAAAGCAGACGGATAAACAGAAATAGACACACACGCAATAAACCCTTTTAAAAAGTGATAGTACAGAGGACTTGTGACTTGCACAGATCAGGTGCGGCATAAATCGCTCAATTTCCAGCCAGAAATAAACGTGTAAAATCATGTTATAGTCTCTGCAAAACCAGCTGCTTTTACAATTTTAGTTAACTCGTCTTCTGTTCCTATTAGCACAACTCGGTTCAGACAGAGTCACTTTATAAAAATAGATTTATACATAAACATATATATACTCATATATAAAAATGGCTGAACAATGGGATATAAATAAAAGTGAAAAAGGTTTCACATTCTCTGTAACAAACGAACAATTTGGTAATTTCAACATTCATTTAATAAAAGTGCATCTGATCCAAACGAGTCCGATATACTGCCATACGATACTTAAGGCACTTTCTTAATACGTTTCCTTTGGCTGGGCTGGAGAGAAAACTAATATACATCTTAATGTCCTCTCAATATCTCACCACACCCTAAAAAAAACGATAAAACGCCTTACGAGATTCCCAATTTGACATCTTATCACTATGGGAAGACTCTTATTGAGATTAGCTGCATCTTAAAGGCTGTACTGCTGCACTCTACAGGATACCACAAGGCACTACGATGGTACAAAACTACATATTACGCTTCGTCCAAAGAACCTCTTCACTTTAACCTCATGCTCTGACCCTCAAGTCAAAAACGAGAGCAAGCCGCTTTCTGTGACAGACTAAATGCTACTAACAAATGACACATCAAGTGCAATTCTATAAAGATAAATCAAAATATAAGATTAACCACAAACTCAAAGCATCCGAGACTGACGTGCGCAAGACCCTCATTTGTCGAAGGCAGAAACAATCCGAGACACAATTGCTAGGCTTCCTCTTACACTAAGTGCCTGGAGTGAGAAACAACATGGAGATCCCGGAAAACTGGCACGTAAAGCATTGGCTTCACAACTCTGCTCTGGACTGTACGAAACATTCATTACTAGGAGACATTCTTGATGTCTGAAAACCTCATTCAAGGAGATTAAGACCCTGTTGGCTTCAGAAGGCACATTTGGCAGTTGTTGTAATAAGTTCTGTGGCAAGTAAAGATGTAATTAACAGCTCAAACAGTATCATGTTTGTTTCATTTGCTCTTACATCACCAACCAGTATATTCCTGAACAAAAGAGCGTGTGCAGAACGAAAAGTCCTGTGGCGCCCCCTGCTGTCACAAAGACGCCATATCTTAAACTGATTTTAAACCAGTTTTTGACCTAATCCAGGCAACATGCTCTGGAAACATAGATTGCTTTTGGAAGTGAGTTTATCACTCTTGGATGTTTTTGAAAAGGGAAACTAACAAGTTGAAGCAGTTGGATGGACAGTGGGCCTCCTCAGCACAAGATCTGTGAGAAGGGATGCCTGAGCAGCTCCTCCGCACTCGGCCGGTATTTGGCCTCCACGAAGATGCAGCGTAGGAAGTCCCGCGTGTGCTCGGAGATGTGGGAGGGCAGCTGGGGGTTGGTGGGCTGAGTGGCGATCTTAAATATGGCCGCCATGGCCTCGTATTCAGCCCAAGGGGGCTTTTCTGTCAACATCTCCACCACAGTGCAGCCAAGACTCCTGTTCATACAACATACAGTTTAAGATTAAGGACCTGTTAGGTCACATGATATTTTTTTTATTTTTCAAGCCACATGTTTTCAAGTACCGTCTGTTAATTTGTCAGCTATAGTAAAGTTATAGATTCCAGATGTTTCCGATTATAGCTTCAGGTGTTTATCTCATACATTTTGATTGATTTTTGGACATTATCTTTTTAATTTTGCCTCAAGTAAATTTATTAAACTTTTTATGGATGTTTATAGACATTTTGTAATTGCAAAATAAGATGAAAATACTGATCAAGAATGTTTTTTATAGTGTTATGTGCTAGTGGCCTATATGGAGACCCAGACAACCACAAACTTTCCAAGCAGACTTTCAGCCAATCATATTGCTCTCCTGACCTGACGGGAGACTGTCCAATCAGTTTATGTCGGGGAATCCCTGAGCAGTGACTAAGCCACTCTCACTGAATGAGAATATGTGCAGTTTGGGTTAAAAAACAGGGATGTTCTTTTTCTCCAATTTTAAACTTTTCTTTGACATGTTAAAAAATAGATTCTTAACATTTAGAGAATTAGCTTTTTTTTAACTCTCCGCAACAGATCACAATCATGTCTGTTTGATAAACAATTTACATTAAAAAAATTGGCTTGGACTAGATGAGCTCATCTAAATGGTGCAAATTTGTTGCTGTTTATATTACTCCAAGAATCATGCTAACATTGGCTTCCATAAATCCCAGCTGCTTTTCTCACTCTAGTAAAAATATGCAGGTTGACCCTCTGGGGACTAAGCCCTTTTTGGTCCGTTTTCTCTATTTTTACATATGTAATAGAGATGGAACACCATGTGTTTGGTATCTATGGATTCAGAAGCCTCTAAGCTAGCATTTAATGTCTGGAAGTATGAGTGAAAAATTTACAATAAATGTAAAATACATTTTTGTCATTAATTACTGAAAATCACACCTCACACAGTTTTTGAACAAAAAAATAGACTGTTCAAACCCTTTGCATGATTGAAGACGAAAGATGCTGTTCCAAAGCATACACATGCTTCTCTCAATCTCAAAAACTCCATCTCTTAAAATGTATTTTTCTTAGTTTAAAAAAAAAATTATATATATATATATACACATATATTTACAAACAAAAAAAACTGCTCTCACCAAACGTCTGCCTTCCGGCCGTACCCCTCTCCACTGATGACCTCTGGGCTCATCCAGTACGGCGTTCCGGTAACAGAACGGACCCCAGTGCTGGACATGCAGATGGTCTGAAGCCGTTTACTGGCACCAAAATCTCCCAGCTTCACATTGCCGGCTGAATCTCGCAGGATGTTGGCACCTGAATGCACCGGAGGAAGTGACCACAGAGAATAATTAACATGCAGTGGACCGAAAGATCTAGATATTTATAGATATTGGATATAAGGTCAAGCTGTCAGTCTGTGGACACGACAAAGCGTGAAAGTGTTTTTTCTTAATATCCAGTTCTTCAATTTGTCCAATTTTCTGATTATTTGCCTTTGCTGTGCTAATTGCTGGACCGAGGCAGCTTTACTCACTTAGCTGATTAAAAGCATTATATCTATGTAGTGTGCGCGCTGTCGCGGAAGCGTCAGCATTCAGCCTTTACCTGCGCGACTCCATCGAGCAAGGACACCAGCAAGGCGCTTAAGTATCTAACTTCTGCACCAACAAAACAACTACTCTATCTGCAGTCAGTTCTCAGCTCCACACACACAAGTCCCTTTCACACAGAGATTCTGGAAAATACACGGATAATGTGACCCGGCATTTGTTCCGGGATTGTTTGATTTCGGTTCATTCACACTGCCAGTGATTTGCCGGGATCTGTGAGTGCGTTCAAACACACAACCCGTAAAGATCCCGGAAAGACACATGACGTCAGGATGAGACGTGTAACGTACGCGTTGAAAACATGTACACGCGCATACCATTCGGATAGTGTGCGGATAGTGAGGAGCTCCTGGTCTCTGCTTCGTTCCAGTTTGCAGACATTTGTTCGTCCTTTCCTAGTTTATGACGAACATAAACTTTCTTCAAATAGCAACAGAGTCGTGCGATGGCGATGGCACGAGCGGCATCACACACCCCTTATGGTATTGGTCCTGGCTTTTGTTCACACAGCGCACATTCCGGGACTGATCCCATCAATGTTACTAGGTCCCCAACCCGGCATCAATGCTGGTATCAATCCCGGGTCGTGTTTGCGTTCACACAGAAGCTAAAAACCTCCTCTCTTCCTTCTCTCTACTAACCGAGGAAGAAGTATCTAAACTTCTCCTCTCCAATCATCCTACCACCTGCCCTCTAGACTCCATCCCGTCACACTTTCTACAAGCCTTATCTACCACAGTAGATGAAATTCCCCAGCAAAGAGAGAAAACATAATGTGTAACATGTCAAAATGGCTAGTGCTTTGACAGTGTTACGCCACAGTTGATTTTTACCCGCATTTAGCTGGTTGGTGGGTGTTAATTTCAAACCCTGGATATATTATAGATATACAAGCTATGTGATCTAAAAGTATATGAAAACTCAATTTTTTACTCAATTCTCACTATTCAAATATTACAAATTTTCTACAGAATAAATTTCCCATTGGTCAGTAGTGTGAATTTACAAACAAATTGAACTTTGACATAGTACACTTGTTTCAAATAACTAACTGTTGCAACAACAACAAAAAAGTGTTTGTTTTTGATGATATGAGGTCTAATACCTTTGATATCCCTATGGACGATCATGTTGCTGTGCAGGTAGGACATGCCCTCCAGAATCTGTCTTGTGTACTTGCGCGTCACATTCTCTGTCAAGGCCCCATAGGCCTTTAGCTGGTCTTTGACTGAACCCTGAGGGGTCAAAAACCACAGCATCAGTGAATCACGTTGAAACAGGTGTGTGATGATGACACATTGCAACCCTTAAAAAATACCTTTAGAGTGATAATGAAAATATAAATAAAAATTGTGTCATTAATTATGCCATTCCAAATCTGTATGCTGTTCATTTTATTTTATTGCTGGAACACTAAACTATACTAGTAGTTTCCATAGATGTAGTTTGTCATATTATTTTTGAGTTGTGAGTTGCAGCAGAGGTGCATAAGCCTCAATGAATAAGACTCCTATTAATAAATTAGATCAACGAACGATACTTTTGGTTCGTTTCTCACAAAAAGCCATCATATGGCTTCAGAAAATGTATATAATGATCTAAAAATGTATAAATGCACATATGGAAATGTAGTGTAAATGTAAATATACACCACCAGTAGAGTTCGGAGTAAAAGTTTTTGGGGAAAAAAAATGACGAATAGAATTATATTTTAAAATATTCAAATAATATTTCACAATATTACTGTATTTTTGATCCAATTAATGGGTGGCCATTAGAGACTACATTGGAAAAAATAAAACAATCTTACCCACCTCAAACCTTTGAACTGTAGTAAACATCCATATATGCATGCATATAAATATATAGTGTCGAAGTCATGCGGATTTCTTTTTTTTTTGTTGTTATTTTTGGAGCATGACACCCCATGATCTGTCATTTTATAAAAAAAATTAAAATAAAAAAAGATTCTTTCCATTAATTCCATGGAAAAAAATAACAGCATACAGGTTTGGAATGACATGATGCAAATGGAATTACAGAATTTGACTTTTTTGCTATTTTTCCCTTAACAAGTCTAATCACTGTTGCTTTCCCAATTCTTGATGACCAAATGCTCTTTCAAACTCACCCCAGGCATATACTCCATGAAAATAGTGAGGGTCTTCTCACTGTGGTCTCTAAGGCAACCGTAGTACTGGACGATTCGTTCATGGTGCAGGTTCTTCAACAGCTGTATCTCACACTCTAAAGCACTCACCTCCTGCAGAAAGGGGGCAAGAGTCATGACTCGACCACAGCTGAGCCGAGCGGCTGTGACCAGAGGGAGCATGAGCATATAGTAAAAAATATGAAACCACAACAAACTAAAGACAAACGCAAACATAATAGAAGCATTTCATTTTGGATTGTTTGAGTGAGCATCATCAAGTGAGAGCATGATCAATGTGAAAATGCGTTGTTAGACTACACCGCTTTCCCTTGCCTCAAAACCCCCCTCTGCGCAACACACAGAGATACAGGAAGCGACAGTGCTTGTTTTTGCAATGGCAGACAGGAAAGGGTTTAAAGAGTGGGGGGAAATTTTGAGAAAGAAAGATATAGAAATAAATCAAGAGAAAAGAAAAGAAATATGCTGATAATCTCAAAGAACAAAAAGAGCAGAGAAAAGGCTAAATAAAATAAAATAAATATGTACCTTACTGGTCTCTGGACTGGCAGGGTCAAAATGAACCTGTTTTGCTGCAAGTTCTCTGCCTGTGTCCACATCATAGCACAGATAAACCCTTCCAAAAGCACCCTGGCCCAGCAACTTCCCCCTACGCCACGTCACTGGAGCTGTAGGAGCTGCACATGACGCATATGATGATGCAACAATGATAAACGAAACCAATCAATTGACAATTTCACACAAATACATACATCTTAAACAGATCAAATGCTTATAAACACTACAATAATGTACAACATCATAATCTATATCACTCTCACACTTATGCGGGACTGGACGGTCCTGTGGGCGGAGTCTGGCCTGAGTATCCACCAGCTGCCAGCTCCCCAAACTCTCCTCACTGCCGTTCAGCGATCGTCGTGATGGCACCAATGTGAACAAGTTTCCATGGGGACGACGGATCCGCGGAAACGTCCGTCGACCTTAGGAGCAGCATTATTTGTTTAAAATATAGCACCTGGAGTATAGGAGTACACTCAAATGTATGAAAGGCCTGAGGATATCGCACCTTCACTGTGGTCTTTATGATGCAGGGACACATGATACCTTCGAGGGTACGTCCCTCCCTTACCCACAATCTTATCATTCGCATGGTTTTCCCGGTCTGAAAGAGGAGAATGGACAATTAGGTCAATGGAACAGCAGGTTTGTAAAACGTTATCAATTGATTTACTGATTGCAGCAGTATCTTTATTGAAACACACCAGCACAGTCCTGTCGGTTGTCAGGGTAACTCTTAACCCTGTGTGTACGAGGTTTCCTGAGTGAGGGGCTACGAAACAAGAGACACCAATCAATGCAAAATAACAGTAAACAGGTGCTATACAATTACAGTATCATTTAAATACTTTTCCGATTGTATCCGTGTCCTCACCTGTCAGAGTTGCTGTCCAGTGACTGACAGCTGCCGGACACTGAGTCTTCTGCGCTGCTCCAAGGATCCAGCACCTTTAAATAGAGGTCAATTATAAATATGTAATGGACTGAGATGGCAAAGTAGATGATTAGGTGACATTATGTCATTTCTCCAGGGATATATTTACTTCAATTCTCTCTCACAGAGCTTCTATGGCAATTGTGGAATGCGGCATTTATATGGGAACGTCTCACTGTTTTAAGGTAACGCAGACACCATTTCTATACAGTATTTGAAATCTATGCTGTACATGTTTCTCTTTTCAACACATACTGGCTGCAAGAATATGCAAGTTACCAATGTATATATGATTTTAGGGGAGTAAAGTAATTTCAAAAGTTAGCATGTTACAAATTCCCATGATTTGATCATTCATTTCTGCTTTAGAGTGTATGTTATGTGCTCAGAGGATATGGTGTTGTTGTTTTACTTTCACTTTCTCCACTTTCACCTCTCAGCGTAGTGCTGTTGGCTGTTAAGACTGTCAATCATCATTGCGACGTTAATACACTAGGAAAGGAGCGGATGCCACAATTGTATATTTTGAGTTTCTTAAGTAGTATTAAGTAGGGCATGTTGAACGCCGACGACTTTATTTAGTTTGTTGCCATTTTAGGGATGTAACAGTGTAATATACAGCAATTATAGAAACTGACGTAGCATATGGAGGGTATATATACATGTAATGTTATATAATAGAAAAGGATAAATACTTTTATACAAGTACACTACTGTACAAAGTTTGGGGTCATGAATTTAAAAATAATAATAATACATTTCCTCAGCGAAGAACATATCAAATCAAACAATAGTGACAATAAAGACATATACATACAAACATGAAAATATTTCAAATAAATGCTGTTCTTCTGATTGTTATATTCATCAAAGAATCCTAATAAACTTGTTAAAAAAAAGAATGTTTCTTGAGCATCAAATCATCATATTAGAATGAAAATGAATGTAAAATTAATCACAAAGCACTAAACCTGTTATAGTTTTAAAGTGCCTTATTTGCGCACGTGTCATTGAACTCACACACTGGTCACTGGTTTCAGGTATGAACTCCCCCTCGCTATTGATGCTGGTGTAAGATCCCTGACGTGCGATTCGCTGTTGCCGCTCAGGAACATAACCAGGGGGCGGAGAACTTCGCCCTGTATTCTGAGAGCCTGGGTAATGACAAGACAAAAGACATAAAATGTTAAAACTAATAATTTAACAAATGCAAGAAGAAATGTATCTGGCCTTACTGTTAAAGGTGGCAAACATATCTCAGTTGGACTGTCAATGCTGTGATGTGAGATTGAGAGTGCACACATGCAACTCTTTGTTTTCACATCATGTTTAAATCACTGTTGTATTTTGGTTTTCTTTCAGTCAGTACAGTGATTTAGTGAGAGGGGAAAAACTACCATAATAACTCGAAGAAAAAAAATCGACACCTTACAATTCATACACGTTAATCTTTTGATTTAAATTTGCGAACTGTCATTAATGCCACTGTCAAATAAAGCATCGGTATAACTTTATTTCAGCGATGGCCTTGCTCGCTGTTAGACTTGCATGCTCATACAGGTTGCATAATGTAATCAGACAGTAGATTATTTCGAAGAAAAAAAAGTCCCATATGCTACATGATGCACTGTGATAAGGGCAGGATCTAAAGTCAAAACAGCTGAATGATGAGACTAAAGGAAAGTATGTAAAAGAAACAAATGTCTTTTTCTTCCAGTTACAGAACCTCGAAGAGCTTTCGCTTTTCTCCAGACACCCTCACAAGCTGTAACAACCTCCCCTCCCCCCTAAAATACACACTATCTCTACAACAGGCCATTGGCCCACCATGCTAATAATGTCTCGCAATCTGATTGGCTGGGATCCAGCAAGCCATTGTAGAGCAGCCAGTGATGGTGGACAGGAAAAGGAAGAGGACCCACTGCTCACAGAGGAAGTCAGAGAAACAACAGAGAAAGAGAGAGAGACGAGGGCAAGAAGATTGATAAGAAAGGCAAAGTGATTTTTCAGTGTGTGTGTGTGAACTCACTTGTGGAGTGGTGGCGTCCTCTGGGTTCCGAGGACTGGTAGGCAGTGCTGACATCACCAGTGGACTGAGAAGTTTTGATGCGAACTTGCTTACTGACTGTGTGATGAGATGGAGAGGAGGCCTGCACACACACAAAGCATTTAGAAAACATTATGCCAATATTATGGGATTCTTAAGTGTACTAATTGGCCTCTTTCTAGTGAGCAGAGATTTAATAATATGCTCTGTCTTCTCTCCAAATTGAACTGTTTGATGTTAATATATTAATTGCAAGTCTCACATTGCTTTGTTCCTGTGTGAGCAGCATGATCTTGATGCTCTTCAATTTTGAGCTGCGGTCCAGCAGATCAATGGCTTTATCCAAGTCGTCCTGATTACGCAGGGGAATAGACAGCTGTGTGTACAAACAAATATGCAAATACACTTAATACATATAATTTAGTAGAGCTGCCTGATTGATAAAAGGTGCACTCATTATTTTTCCGTCGCTTAAACATTTCAGAATAAGAAATAATCTTTTGAGGGGGGAAAAAAGGTTTAAAAAGTATTAACTGATGCTATCATTTGTTTCCTGTCCAACTGCTGCAGTGTAGTTCAGTTCAGGAGCAAATAACCTTTAGTTGCCGATGCTTTAAAAGATTCATTCAAAAGACTTATAAATGTAGGAGTTATAGTGAATCAGTCTGATAAGTCCTTTATACAAAATAATACACAAAATTAAATCAATATACCTAAGACAAAACTAGTGGACATTGAAATATTGAGTATTTTTGCTAAGTGACCAGACATAAGCGAGTGTCAGTGAGTGCATTTGAATGTGAATCAATACCTCATTATTCATATAATGCAGGTCTAACTGCTGACCGAAGAATGTTTTGACTTTCTGCTGGACTTCCTCAAACTGCACAGGCCGCCCAAACATCAGAATCCTACACAAACATATATAAACATACACACATGCCACGCACACGAACATCAAACAGGAAACTGAGATTTCTTTAGATGTGTAATCTGAGGCGGCAAGTCAAACACACAGTCGGATCTGCAGAGTGCACACATTCCTGCGAGCACACCTAGCATAGCTGTGGTCTGTCCTGGCAGCCACAGACAAACCACAGTCCTTTCCCTTTCCACTGCGTTACCAGTCTGAGAGCTGAGAGAGAGTGTGCATCTGTGTGTAATCTCTCAAAATCAAAACCCCAGTGTGTATTTGATCATCACTTTTCTTTAAACGCATACAGGCATGCACATTCAAGTAGAAAACTTAAATTCACCTTCTTTCACCACAGAACTCAAACTTAATCCTGACATCCTCCTGAAGAGAACGAAAAAGAGGTGAGGTCACACCAGGGTCATATAGGACTAGGAGTCACAAGGTCACTGTTTCTAACGTATGCATGTGTATTACCATTCTGTTGGAAGAGCTGGCAGTATTGACAGGTTTAGGTTTTGCCGTGTCGTAATTTGACGCCGGCTGGCGCCTGGTCATCTGCAGGGCCACCAGATCCTTCATAATTGAATGGAGAGCCTGTCTCTCATCTGGGAAGAAAGACAGAGATACAGATCAAGCCGGTAAGCGATGATTATTTTCATGTTATTACAAAGATGGCACACTCATTAAAACAACATTTATAGGACAGATCATGTTTTCATATTAATTTTGAGATTTGCTAAAGATTACATTGAACAGTGTTACTCTTAATTTAAGATTTACTTTAAAGGGTTAGTTCACCCAAAAATGAAAATTAAGTCATTAATTACTCACCCCCATGCTGTACCAACCCCGTAAGACCTTCGTTCGTCTTCGGAACACAAATGAAGATATTTTTGATTAAATTTGAGAGCTGTATCACTACCACATTGGCTCCTAAAGGACTGCCTCTTGACGGCCCAAAAAGTCAATGAAGAAAATGTTTAAATATCCCAAGTGACTACCGTGGCTCAACTATATGTTTATCAAGCGACGAGAATACTTTTTGTGCGAAAAAACAAACAAAAATAACGAGTTTATTCGACTATTTCTTTTCTTCCTTGTAGGCCAGAACGAGAATTCCTTAGATTTCCACGACGCATGCGCGAGATTTGCGATCTGCTTACACCAGCTTACACTACTTCAGATCGCAAATCTCGCGCATGCGTCGTGGAAATCTAAGGAAGTCTCGTTCTGGCCTACAAGGAAGAAAAGAAATAGTCGAATAAACTCGTTATTTTTGTTTGTTTTTTCGCACAAAAAGTATTCTCGTCGCTTGATAAACATATAGTTGAGCCACGGTAGTCACTTGGGATATTTAAACATTTTCTTCATTGACTTTTTGGGCCGTCAAGAGGCAGTCCTTTAGGAGCCAATGTGGTAGTGATACAGCTCTCAAATTTAATCAAAAATATCTTCATTTGTGTTCCGAAGACGAACGAAGGTCTTACGGGGTTGGTACAGCATGGTGGTGAGTAATTAATGACTTAATTTTCATTTTTGGGTGAACTAACCCTTTAAGTGAGTCTTAGATGAAGGCAAATTTGATCTAAATGTAAAAATACGGGTAGGGCTGCACGATTAATCGCAATATACACGAAATCGCACGGCTCATCAAGATTTTGAAATTCCAAAGGCTGCGATTATTTTATTTTTTTTAAGTTAGTGACCTTTTTTAACAAAAAAGGTCACTAACATTGTACCATTGCTTTGACAAAGTATCCATCAAACAAACTAAAATCGAAAGTGAAATTAATTTGTGGCTCAATCACTGCAATGAGTGTCCCATGAGTGGCTGAATACTTTACACCAAACAAGAGATTGTTGCAGAAACTTGCTATATACTGTTAAAACATGGGTGCAGAGGATGTTCTGCTCTCCTTTGTGAATAAACACTCACAGTCAGACGACTAAACCTGCGTCAATGAAGAGAAGTCTGAGAGAGGGAGATGACCGTGTTTTTGAGATCTCTGTTCTCATGTTTGATGTAAGAATGAACTGAGTCTTGGCTAAGCTCACTCAGGGAAAATATTCACAGTGTGTTTTTTGGATGGACTTCACACACCTCCTGAGAGGGAGAGAAACAGAGAAGCCTCGTCTACCCACTAATACTTGGAAACCTGTGTTAGAAAATGGCAGTTCAACCCAAGCAACAGACTCAACCACTCAACTGTTGAAAATCTGTGTGTTCATGTGACCAGTGAGAACACAAACATCACTGTGCGTCTCCATGATTCCCTCTGTCTCTTTTTAAACATCTCCCAAAATCTTTTTAATTCCAGACGTCACAGTGGTTTCCAGATCAACAGCAACTTGTCTGACATTTAAGAAGGCACTGATATACTCACAGCAAATTCATTTTTCGTTCTTCGCTTAAAGGTAAAGAGAAGTTCGAAAACCCTTTTCAGCAGTATAGAGTTAGTGTATATTCCAATGCCATTCAATTAGAGGGATATGTAAATTTGTGCTGCTGAGAACACTAACACAAAGATGTTTGGTGTCAGTAAGATTTTGTAGTGTACACCTCAATGAGTGAGAGGCACTTAAACATCTAGCTAAGCTTTATTTTTGTAACTTTATCTTTGGTTGAAATTAACCTAATATTGTACATTTTTAATTTGGTCTATTTTTATTTTGTTTGAGCTCAAGCAATAATTGAAGAGCTGTTGAGGATCCATGGCATTTGATAAAAAAAAACATACTCACTCATTTTGTCGGTATGAATGTGTGTGCTATTGATTGAAGTTCAGGTTTGAAGGTCCTCACACACCCTTTCCTCTAGTGTCACCCATCAATGGCCTAGAAATGGAGCAATATTAAGGTTATACAGAAACTCCTGATAAAATCAGCTGTAACTTACCTACCAACCAAAACAAATGTCATATGGTCATATACACCGATCCAGAGCATCCCAAACATGCCACACCTGTGAGGTGGATGGATAATCTCGGCAAAGGAGAAGTGCTCACTTACACAGATTTGTGAACAATATTTGAGAGAAATAGGCCTTTTGTGTACATAGAAAAAGTACATAGAAAAAGGCAAAAACAAAAGTGTTGCGTTTATAATTTTGTTCAATGTAAGTGACGGGATAGAGTATATGCTGTGCATGCATGTTAGTGCACGTGAGACCTGAAGGAATGTAACATGATCTTCTACTGGCACCGAGGAACCAAGGCACAAACCTTCCAGCCGAGGGGAAATGAGCAGAGGGAAATGTTTACCATTTAAAAATTGCCAGATTTCAGCTCCACAGGCTTGATTCCAGCCATAAAAGTCCCTTTCAACAATGCCATACTCCCTATAAACACTATCACTGTAATATTTTCAAATTTCATTTGCCCATGAATACAGGTGGCTCATATTAAGAAAAAGAATGTGAATCAAAATGGCTGTACTGTACATTGGATGTTCTGTATTTTAACTTTTGTCTTATTTTTCCAAGGCTAAACAATGTTACAAATCATTTAGTGCAAAACAATATTGTTGACCATGTACTAGGAACTCTTAATTTTTTTTATTATAAATAAATAAAAAATCTTACCTTCTATTCTTTTGATGTCCTTCAAAGATGTTATCTGTTCTTTCTGGAAGAACAAAAAACTGCTTTACCACAAAGGTGTCTAAATTATAGTTTCACATAATATGTTACTCATTTCTCTGAAAAAAATTAATTTAAGCACTGCTAACCTCTGAGTTATGCATGGAATTTGTAGTGTCAGAATTCATTTACCAAACACTATGATTTTTTTAGCTGTTTTTTTTTTCTGTATAAAAATGTTTGAACATTTCAGTATTCATCTCTAGTATAAAAATCACAAAAACTGAAAACAGTGTAGCCCAATTACTCAAAACATTTTGCTTATGAGTTGGTTCTTTTAATAAGACTAAATGAATCAGCTAAAAAAAACTGCCTTAGATAATTTACAGCATTAGCCTCGAGAAAATTTCATATGCAACTCATATTCAAGTCAAATTTATACCATACGTTTTATATTAAATTTGTATTAAATTATCCAGTTACTTATACAGTTATATTAACTGAAATATACACAAATTAATGCAGGTTAAAATCTAATAACTGAATCAGAAATCAGAAAAGACACAGGAAATCTGTATTAATACTCAAGCCTTAGTTAATTCAGTTATTTTCATTAAATACAACACTAAAGACATGCAAAAATGCCATATCAAATCTATACAATGTACAGGAAATTTTACATCCTCTAGAACTCAAACCAGGTGAGCTGTTGAGGCAAACCTGCCAATGGCTGCACTAGAAAGTCAGCAAAATCTCATAAGAATGCTTCCATCAGCATATCCTGACCTTCAACAATGAAGCGCTGGATAGGACTGCATCACTGCCAGACTTACATGCAAAACTCTTTATATCCAATTACAGCAGCCTGAAGAATAGAGGACTAACTGGACATTGCTAAATATATTTATGGACATTGGTCCATATTTATGGTCAACGCTGAAATTATTAACCAAATGGATGAGGTAAGGAATTGTGCACACATGCGTGCGTTTGTTTCAGAGCCTCCAGTCATGCAACTTCAACTAAACCAAGAAAAATTTCAGAGGTCATTAATTTGCACTCATTTAGTCAAACATGGGTGGCACCAGGTGGCCTGACCGACTAAGACTACAAACACACTCAACGAGCAAAGAATGCATGCAGCTTCATCTGACATTATGCTATATATACATCCAAGTCTAAGTTAAACAGACCCTCACCAGGAGGGCAAACTGAATCGCATAGCCAAGTTTGATCATTTGAAAGACCCAGCGAGACGGGCTGGTGGCCAGGTTTACAGATACAACGCAAGGGGGACCAGTGGGACAACAGACGTGCCTGCAGTGGGAAAGCGCTGTGGATTGCAGCGGCCTTCCCCACACCGGAAGGGCCATGGGGATTGGCCCGACGAGAGAGCTCCCACTGTAACCCTCAGATCACCCTGTGTATTAACCAAACGGCAACCAACCTTCCAGTCTCTCTCTTGAATCCAACACGAAAGTGACTTAAACTGCAATTCATCGTCTGGCTACTAGAGACTGGCTCCAAAAGAGAGTCAATCCCCCCGTTAAAAGCCTGTTCCAAAACGTGATTGCCCTTCATGACAACTGTGAAGAGGTGATTTTTTATTTATTTATAACTCATCCATTTAAATGATATTAAGCCTTATAGTTCTGGATAACATTAGAGGCATGGCAACTTGAGTGACAGTTGGATTGTTGTCACTGCTGTCACTATAGCTGTTTGTCTGCTGTCTGTTAGCCGTCACATCATCTCAGTTTCGGTTATCCGGGAGTAGGGTTGGGTACCGAAACGCGGTGCCAATGGGGAACCGGTTCTGAAGTAAACGGTAGTAACCAGACCGAATAAGAATGAAAATTTCGGCGCCTGATTTCGGTGCCTGACTCTCTGTGTCATGAGGCGCACACACGCAAAGTCTCTCACTCTCTCCCTAGTGTGTGTACTACACGGTTTGGAGCACAGTCTGTTCTCTCTCACATGCGCGCTATTGTTCGCTCGCTCTAGATTCCGGGAGATTTTAACTAATTTGCAGGCGTCAGGGAGCCGTTATCAATATGTGGGAGACTCCAGGAACGTCTGCCGATAGCGAGGGTATTCATGAAGATGCCGAAGACACTCCAAGGCTTGGCTGCATTTTACATGTAAAATAACACGTCAGAATGATTGTCTGAAGCCCATATAGAATCACGATTCACTCCAATCCATTGGCTGATGGTGCGGTGCGCCTTGGCGCTCACGTCATCATATTATATTAGCGTGTGCATCATCTGCTCTTCAGATTACTCTGCCGAAAAAGAAAGCTTGTCGGCAGCGCAAGGTGTTTGGCAGTTTCGTTTCATTCCCTATTCAGAGATGCAGCATTTCATTCCCTATTCAGAGAACATGGGTTACGTCAATAACCAGAGACGTTCTCTTTCATAGGTTTACTCAAAGCTGCGTAGCTAAGATGCAGTGGGAACAAAATGCCAAACTCGCCAAGCTAAGCGTATCTTAGTGAGAAAGTGAGTTTCCATCCATGTATTTGAAAACAAGTTTAGATGGAAAATAAAAAATGCTGTACAGGAACACCAACATGGAATTTGCATCCCTAAAATGAACACAAAAAATATAGGCCTAGATTCCATAAGATTTGCATATGATGGAAACACATTAAAATGATTAGTGGTTTCCCCAGTGGCTATTCTCACGTCTATACCTATCTTTTACAAATTTCCTGAGAGGTGACCTTTTTTTCCTGTCAAAAACATGTTTGCTCTTTCTTTCTTTTATTTTTTAGATATTTCGATTTTTCTAAACTTGGATGGATAATAGCTACGGACCCAAAAACTGCTGCTGCTGTCTTCTGTGGAAACCTTAAAATGGATCAGGGAGCATAAACATATAGAGAACCAATGAATTAAGGTTTGTAAAACTTTTTTTCCTTATTGAATCTCTAATCCCCTCTCAGTTTTTCCTTCTCTCCTGCTCTTAATTACCTTGTGGTAAGTATGTGTGGAATCTGGAAAGGGGAGCAGGCTGCCCATGGGCCCTGTCAGCTGGCCTGGGCCTGCATTGTTATGCTTGTATCCCTTTTCCAGTACTCGCCAGAATCTCAGCAATTTTCTCTTACCATTCCCGCCTCCAACCACCTCCTGCCTGAATTTCGGCTGTTTAGTCTGTGGCTGGTTTTCCCAGCCATGGCGCTAAGGCTGTGGGCTTACAGTACAAATCCCCTCTAGGGGTTCCCCTCCAACACTTTGGAGCGGCTAGACTAAAACTGTTCCTCTCAGCTCTGGGGTAGAGATGACAAGTTGCTCTAAATGGTGGAAAAGACAATATTTTAACACTAGGTCATGAACTGGCTATAAACGCATGTTACATCAAACATAAACAGATCTGACACCATCTGTGTAAGTAGTGGTCCATGCAATGAAAGTTGTGAAGCAAAGACACATTGACACTCGAACCTCCGAGGGATTTTCCCAACACAGGCAAAACACAAAATTAGTCACATTCACAAACTTATTAAATACATCTAAACAGGAATAACTATTTGCTGAATGTCAGTTCTGTACCATCCTGCTATTATCTTCTTGTATAGTGTAAACAAATATCTGATTTAAAGCTCCTTTGGTCTCTGAGCCAATTCCTAAACTTCTACATTTCTAAAATGCAGACCAGTGTACTTGTTGAAATGTTAACTGATATGTGTGTAATTTATGATTCCAGACAAGCTCCCCAGGGTACTCAGCATTGGAAATATTTCAGTTTTGCTTAGTTAAACATGTGAAATAGATTTATTCATTAGCGGTCAACTAATTTTCAGGTTTTGACAGGTTTTCAGAGGCCAGACCAATGTTGATATCTACAATCAAGCTGATCAATAAAATGCTGATGCATAATACAATTCAATGGAAGTAAATAAGTTGTAAACAAACTTGCTTGAGAAGGGGGCGCTGTTGAGCAATGAAGAAGTGAGACGTGTTTTAACTAAGTAACTTTTCTTTTATTAATACACTAAACACCTGTATAACCACCTAAAAGTGCTTTGGAGTGACACAAGCAAGTGGGAAACTAAACCTAAAAGGAGAGATCCAAAAAGAACGACCAACAAGAATCAGGCCTTGATCAACCCTCGGACTCAACTGAGGTGGTGGAGCCCGACCAGTTGAGTGAGGAGGTGGACCCACCAAACTGGGCTGTACTGGCCGCTATTGCTGCGCTGTGAAATGAAATAACCTAGATTAAAGATGACATATGCGCCACCACTATCGATGTACGTATACACACGGTGTACACCATGCTAAGAGGCGAATTGGCTACAACTAAAGAAGAACTGCAGACTTGCATTACAACCCAGGAGAAATCGTGACCTCACATGCTAACACTATTGGAGAGATAGAGAAGTCCGTCTCACACCAGTCGGACGATGTCACTGAACTTCAACGTCAAGTCACCCGCCTGAGCTCTGAAGTAGAATAACTACCTGAGAAATGTGAAGAAGGCCTAGAAGGGTGCTCGAGGACTTTCCATTTACAGTCTCTCCAGAGAAATGTACCTATTTGGGGATAGAAGTGACACAAAGCAGTACTCCTCTTTATTCCAGGCAAACTTTCCTCCTCTAATAGAGCGATTACAGACTAGAATTTCATTCTGGGACATGCTCACAATTTCTTTAATTGGGATAATTAATGCTATAAAGATGATTTTACTCCCACAATTGTTGTACCTATTTCAAAACATCCCAATGTTTCTAAAAAATCCTTTTCTAAACACCTAGATTCTTTAATAGTTCCTTTTCTGTGGGGCCAAAAGGGACGATTGGCAATCCCAGACTTTTTGCTATATTTCTGGGCCTCAGCGATTAAGCTTATGTTTACCTTTTGGTTGGACACATCAATACCAATGTCTGATTGGCTAATGTTGAAGCAGGAGGACTGCCACCCGCATTCTATGGCCGTGGTCCTACTAGCTCAGGCCGCGGTTAATAAGTCCTTGTATAATCACAATCCAATCATATATAGCATGATCTGTACCTGGAAACAAATCAAGACCACTTTTAATCTTAAACCAATCTCTCTTCTGTTACCCATCACTAGAAATCCTTTTCTAAAGAAAAGCCTTTTCTACATGGAGTGAGAGGGGTGTCCAATGTATTGGCGACTTATACGTGGGAGGCGTCTTTGCTTCATTCACACAACTACAGAGAAAGTATGAGCTGGGGAATGATAACTTCTTTCGTTACCTACAAGTTAGGGACTATGTTCGGAAATACTTGAATGTATTCAATGAGACTATTCAATGAGTTATGAGACTGAATCATAAACAAACAGTATGAGAGAGCCACTCTGCACTTTACAAACAAGTGTCTACACAGAATTGTGTTGTTGTGTGTGGTTTCCAGTAACGGTGATATAAGCTGTGTGTCATCTGAACTGAAGATTTAAAATACGGTCAATTCTCCACCAGAGCTTCTTTTGTCAGTTTTGTGTTTATAAAAGATTTAAAAGCTATTGTCAGTTAATGGAGATTTGATGGATGAACTTGGAGCATGATTGGACTCTTGTTGTGTTAAAAGTAAGATTTTTAAATAATCTGGAGAATTCCCAGTGGGCTGCTCATGAATTGGTATGGCCACTTTACGCAGGTCTCAAGTTGACGGTCTCAATGAGATACGCACAGAAACCGGCATATCACAGGCGGTTTAAGTAATGACAATGGTATGCAAGCTGTCCTTGTACATCTGATAACTACTTGTGCATGCACAGCTCTTTGTATTGGTTACAAATGTTATAAATATTATCATATGGCAAACCTGCACATGCGCGCAGTTAGGGCGAGCCAGGTGACTACTCCCCGCTTTCTACTATTGCTTGACTGATAATTGAACAAACACTGCAGTCAGTATCCGAGATGCTATTGTAAGTTGATGTGTGAACGGGACATTTTGAGACTCGCACCTGTAAGTTGCTAATTGACTACTAATTGACAAGTGGGTTGTCAATCCAAAAAACTGACAGTGTGAACAGCGCCTTTGGTGATCAGTGTTCACTATCGGTTACTTTTTTTGTTAGACATATTGTCAGAGCTAAATGATATAACAATTGCAATGATATACAGCATAATTTAAAGCAAAATGAACAATTTTTGGTTGTGTTGATGTGATGACCCCGTCAAATCTTACTGATGTTGCTTTGGGGGCCAGAAGACAAAACAAGGTTGGGAAACATGAGTACTTGCATGCCATGCATGATCGAGTTAATACCAGAATATGGCAACTAATAATCGTTTTTCTACACGATTTGTATTTTGTAGCACTAGTGAATCAGTTTACACCTGCTGTTCGTCACACATTAATTTGTATGTTCAGTGCATATTTTATGAATGATACGAGGGGGAAAACATGGACATGTTAGTTTCATTAGTCAAGACTGTCATTTACCCAAAATACACTATCAAAACCTGCAGCTAAGTTGTACTTCATTAATAGCAGAGTATCAATGAACCCCAAGTTAAAATACTCACCTGAGCTTGGGGTGAATTGCACGCAGTTTAAGGGGGACTCTTCACTCAGTCACGTTCTGTCCGTTATTCGCAATCTCGATGACAAACGTAATAGCTACAGTTAATGTAATATGACTGTCCACAAATGTCCAGGCCGCTGCCATTGCTAACGCGCTTTCAGGCGCGCGGACCCCTGAGGGTCTCCCATTTCATCCATAAAACCTATTCCTCAGACCAGTCTAGAGAATAGACTCCTTTAATACACAAAAATAAGTAATCTCCAGTTTATGGTGATAGAAAGCAGCCGTTTAGTGACTACGAATAAAGCATTGACGTTTCATGAAGCGACATATCTTTATAGCTTTGTGAAGAAGACATAACAACTGCATGGAGAGTTGAAAATAAATCTCAATAATAAGCGTCACCTCCAAAAGCTAAAGCAAGAATGTCTCGTAACAACACTAATAGTGCAGATATAAGCGAGTTGCGTACATAAAATCCATTTGTATTCGCAGACTGGAGAAAAGGAAAGGATTTCCGTAATTCTGATGGCTTCTTTTCCTGCTAGGTTTGCATTTTCCCCCCTCCGTTGATGTGTCTGCCCAGCTCACTGCACGAACGTACAGTTTTCACTTTTCTTGTGAAAGGCGAATCGGTAACAGTTCGTTCATCCGGCGCGTAACAACTTTGTAAAGCCAAACAAACCAGAAAATGAGCCCTCAGCTCGATGATTGGACAATCTCCACATTATTATGCGACAAATGATTATGAATGAAGGCATGTGACAGTGAAAGCAGCATTCATGTATCCACTTTATCGAAGGAAAAGTTAAAAACGTATGAGGATAACTGCACAGGAAAACCACTGTCGAAGATCTGGACAAAAGAGCGTGCGCATTACAGTCAGCGGATACTTGAACTTCGAGAACAAATTCCCTTTTCCGTTGATGAGGGTTAAAACTCAGCGAAAGTTAAAACTCCGCGAAAGTGCAAGAAATACGCTCCCCGAGGGCCGTTCAAGCGCTTTTGGTGATATTAAGCGTGAGGTGAGATTTTTAGGCGACATTAGTCCAAGCATTCTCGTGATGTTGATGATGATAAACAGCAGATGCTAGAATGAATCTTTAGCGCAGTGAGTTTCCTGACAGGGAAAAAGCAGTTCGTCACCGGAACACATAAGCTCGCTTCCTTTAAAACCAGCCAAAAGTTCGTCATGTTAATGCCCGTGCACGGATAAAATGGCTTTCACGTTTTTTTTTACTCGTCGTCGGTGGAAAAATGCATAACGTTTGTAATTTCCGTAACACGTTCAAGATTACAACTGTGTTTGAGCACACTGACTTTACTGTACGCTCGGGGGCGCGCTGTTCCTCTCTTTAGTTCTTGTTTGGTGACGTAAAGCGCACACGCACAGCATCACTGTCGCGCATACATTTATGATGTAAGAGTCAGACATGAACTTTTTCAAGGGCGGTGTGCTGTGTTTAGGGGAATAACGTGATGCATTAAACAAATGCACATAAACTTTCACACTGTTGCCATTCAGACAATTTTCAGCAAAAATTCCCTACTGTGATTTGTATATGGGACCATGATTTATTTACAACATTAACGATACTTTTAGATAGACATTAGACATTTCAAATTAAAAAACGCTGATAATTGTGTGAATAAAAGGTCATCTCATCTTTATTTCGCTCATCTGTATGTTGTACATGCTGTTATTTGTTTTACTATATATTTTAAACGTTTTTTTATATTCATATAAAAACTAGTCACACTTTTATTTATAAAGATGCATATAAAACTGTTTCATTTTTATAAATAAAAATAAAACTTGAATATAAGACTTAGGTCATGCACTTCAATGTGAGCTTTAGTATAATTAAAGATCCAAACTAAGGGTTGATCAACACCAGCATATCTTTTATTTATTTGTGTGTACAAAAGCGTGTACAAAAATGAGAAATAAAGGAGGAGAAAAAGGACAAGACAAGTCTGTGGGAAATGAAAAAGAAAAATCACATTTTATTGTAGCAGTTGAACTGCGGGGCTGATAAAAGTACCAAGGTTTATGAAAATAAACCTGATGGGACAAAAGAAACAAGTAAAGAGCCAAGACCTCCTTCTGCTTTAAGGCCACCTTGTTCCACTGATCAAGTTTTAGATATAGAGTAATACACTTTGCGTACACTTATCTCCTCTCACTCAATGCATGCATTTAAAAAATATTCTTTAGCAACCTTAACTATCAATACACTTACAAAGACACACTCACACATTTCAATAACTACAAATCCATCAGAAAAGCACAAAGAGTGTACCTTTTCCTGTTTGTTCTGTAGCTTATAAAAGACAGTAAGTGTTTGCAGGATATTGTGTCATTTGTACCACGGCGCACTGTGTGCAATCACAACTAACAGTTGGGGCAAACACAGTGATTTATGCCTTTGGAAAGCTTATTCCAAAAATAAAATCACATTTGGACAGAAAAGATAATGACAGTAAAGAAGTCCAAATCATTTACATTTGGTGTAACATTTAGTTAAGAGTGAGAAATTAAAAAAAAAAAAAAGCTGAAGATTTTTGGGAAATGAACTCAAAGGAAGCTGAAAAAAAACTTTGTTCTTAATATGATGGATTTGAAACAAACTGAAGTAAGGCTTAATATGAAAATATTATTTCTGTTCATGCCCACAGCTTTCAATAATTCCTCTAAACCTCGCAATGCATTTCAATTTCACAGTAACCATTAATATATAAATACACAGGGACTTTTGTGGCTTTCAAGTTGTTGAAAATATTTGGATGATTTTCAATGGCTTAACAAGTCTAAACGGCGCATGTCAAATGTACAGACAAAAGGCCATTGCACTGGAAGGCAGACAAGACACTTGCAAACACAACAAGCTACTATCATGGACTAAAATGAAGGGCAAATCTCAAAGACCACTTCCGCAAGGAATTTAACATATACAGACATCCGAATAGCCTAACTGTTTGTTACACAAAAAAAAAAAAAAAAAAAAAAAAGCAAAAGTACTGAAATACAGAGGCATTTCGTTCATTAAAAGAAACTACATTATGGCATCGATGATATTTGTACACAAATACACGAACCACAGGAGAGGTCACAGCATATGGCCACAGTGACAATTCACAAGATGCAGAGTTGCAGTTTCACGCTGACATGTGCAAATAAAACCTAGGATGGAAGTCTTCATTTGGATGTATATCACTCCAATTCCTGCTCAAACCCTAACTGTGTAACAATTTCGAGTGTAAAAATGATTTATTTAGTGAACAGCGTTCAATTGAACAACAGCTTTTAACAATGAACAATAGGGGTGACGCTGTTGGATCATTGTGACCCATCTATAATCCTGAGCAATACTTAGGAGCCACACGTTTACGTATGTACTCAAAGTCCTAGCAAACCATGTCACAGAGAAACCTACAGGAAAAAGCCAACAACTATGTGATGACAGGAAGTGGTGTAAGGGGGGGAAAGGCAATGGTGCGAAACATCATAAATGTCATTTCCTCTGAGACCTAGTTCCCTGTGAATATCTTAATTTGTCAAACAAGCTTGGTCCCATGCAGCAAGGCATAAGTACAGTACAGTGCATCACAGTACATTCACTCTGCTTAGTGGTACTTATGTACAAATGCCTATGCAAGAAATCACTGAGCAACAACACAAATAAAAGATGTGAATGTTCGAATGTGCAGTTCGCAGAAAAACACTAAAATGACTAAAATATGATATAAGCGGCTTATCTATGATTGATATGATGAGCGCATAGACACCACTAGACAGCATTGAGTTTCTAAAAGAACAACTAACGTTTAAGGAAAAGCATTCAAAACACTAGAGGCCGCCAAAAAAGAGAGACCACATAAGACTGTGCAAAGTCTAGGTCTCAATTTATAAAATGAACTAAAAATGGTCAATCTTAAGCAAAGGGAATATGATCTCAAATACTTTTATAATGATTATAATTATATTTGATAAGGATATCAATGCTTCAGAATAATAATAATGATATTATTTGAAGAGAGTTTGCAGAGGCCAATCTTACAGGATCTGTTAAGTACTACTAATTCTTAATGCCAAAAGAAAAGGAAGGATAAAGAAAAGGAATGAGGGGGATGTAAACTCAAGCGAGTTCTTTACAGTACAGTGTACCCTGTAGATTCACACAAAATGTCCTGTCCCAGCAAAGCAAAAAATAAAAAATAAACAAGACAGTTTTCCCATTGTAAGGAACATTGTTAGGCCATATAGTCTGAAAACAGTACAGATCGCAGTACTAGGACACATCAATCATTAAAAAAAGAAGAAAAAAAAGCACTTAATTCGACTATGAACATAAAAGACTGATGAATAATTTGATACAACACCACAGAATCATTACCTGAGTGTATAATCGAAACCATCTTGAAACAATTCTTACGACAAAACATACAATACTAGTACTGCCACACTTGATCGTAATGATGCTAACAACCTATGGGGATACAAACATTTTGGTCACAATCAACTAACTTAACTCCACAACACTAGATGAAAAGAAATGGACACAAAATGACAGCTAAATAAAAATTGGTGTTGGGGGGTATATTATTTGTGACATGGTAAAATATCAGTGATTGTGTTACATCATGAAGAGCCTGGCTCAAGTGTGTCTACATGTGTATGCATGTGTGTATTTATTGTGTGTGGGCAGAGTAAATAAAGGGTCATCATCATTGGCCAGTGGAGGGAGAGGTGAGTTTTGGAAATCACTGAGGATTATGCCGACTTGGTGATGCTCTCTGCATCCTTAGAGGCCCAGAGCTCCTTATGCTGCTTGCGTCCGAACCCCTCGTCGTAGTTCCCTTTACTCTTGAAGAGCTGCTGGAAGTGTGGTTTGCAGTAAAACTCCCCCTGCAGTGCTGCATAGCTTCCCAGACTACAGAACAGAGAAACCAAGAGATTACATACATATACATGCACGCATCCAAAAATGGGCTCAGTAAGAATTTAAGAAACGAACACTTATTTAGCAAGGATGTTAGCATTATTACACAAAAATTTCTATTGAAGTTGAAGTTTCTATTCATCAAAAAATCCTAAAAATGTATCAGTTGCCACAAAAATATAAGGCAGAAAAACATCTTTTAACAATTATAATTAAGAAATGTTTAAAGGAGAACTCCGGCGCAAAATGAACCTTTGGTCTAATAAAACATTGGTACCTATTCGACCGTTCTCTGGGATTTGTTTTCATGATAATCGAATGGACAAAGTTTTATCTCTAAAAACTGTTTAATTTATAACACTAGTATATGGGGCATATAACAAGTAAAAAGAAATCGCTAGTTTATACCACTAGCAAGGCTCAAAATAGCCCCACACTAACACAGTAACATAATGAGGGTCCCTAAATGCCAAACGAAGCGTTGAGGACTTTGTAAGTGTACAGACCATTTAATAAGAAGATACTTTATAAAGACAGTCCACTTCGTGTATACAGACAGGAGCCATCTTTGGAAAACAGTCTCGATAAGTTGAACCACTATCGTTGTGCCAAGTGAGCTGAACTGCATGAAGTTCAGCGAACTTTTGAACTGTATGAACGTTGTTCGTGGTTCGACTTGTCGAGACTGTTTTCCAAAGATGGCTGTATACACGAAGTGGACTGTCTTTATAAAGTTTCTTCTTATAAAACTGTGTGTACTCTTACAAAGTTCTCAATGCTTTGTTTTACATGTATGGACCCTCATTATGTTACTGTGTTAGTGTGAGGCTATTTTCAGCCTTGTTAGTGGTATTAACTAGCGATTTCTTTTTACTTATTAAATTCCCCCATATACTAGCATTATACACTAAACAGTTTTTAGAGATAAAACTCTGTCCATTCAATTATCATGAAAACAAATCTCAGAGAACAGTCGAATAGGTACCAAAGTTTTATTAGACCAAAGGTTCATTTTGTGCCGGAGTTCTCCTTTAAGCAGCAAATCTTCATATTAGAATGATATTTAAAGGATCATGGGACATTAACATTGATGGGACATTGAAAACAGCTATTTCAATGCAATAACATTTCACAAATATACTGTTTTTTGATGCATTTTTGATTAAATAAATGCAGCCTTGGTGAGCATAAGAGAGAACCCTTCCAGTTTACAACACATGTTGAACTGCTCCTTTTTGCTGTTTTTCTTAGTGTGCTGGTGAGGAAGTATCTAACCTGAGTTTGGTGTTGCAGTGCTTGCAGCAGAAGCATGTGGCGTGGAAGATGAGGTTGTTGGCCACCAATCTTTCCATCGGATACACTGTCTTCTCACATGATGCACAGGTCTCTTTCTGTGTCTTGAAACTGAAAGACTAGAAGGAAACAAAGGCACTGCCATTTGTTTTCAGTCATTTAAAAGAATAGTTCACTCAATTAATTTGCAAGGAACAGATCAAAATTTCATCACATGACTTGAATATGACAGAATATAGACTTAAGATATAAGTGCATGGCTCATAAAGACTGACAGAGAGAGATAGATTCACATTACAATATAAAATCTAGAAATAGACGGAGAAAAAACAAGGATGTGAATCAAGTATCGTACCTTAGAACGCTGAACGGGCTTGTCATCAGACGTGTTCCTGTTGTCCTGGAAAAAAAAGAAAAAGAAACAAAAGAAAAATAAAGCGTGTGTTCCTAAGACCCATGGCAACACTATTTCAGTGTGAATACCACAGCATAATCCTGCACATCATCCATTCACCATCACTGCTGTCCTTCTAACCTGACATAACTCCAAAAATGTCCAGTCCCTCTTATATCCCATTCCCTCCATCTTGTCGCATGCTTTTACAAACACCTTTTGTCAGTGTACCAACACACACACACAAATGCATGAAGAGGGATCAACGAAGACTAAGCCTGGGGAGCGTATCTAACTCAATCGCCCTGTGAAATAAAGACCCTGTGCACACACACACACATACTTTCAGTTTCAGCCAGTCTGACTCTAAAGCTATAATATGACATTACATAACACAACCCCATGTCCCACGATCAACTATAAACCACATATTCTGTAGCGCTTAAAATCAAATCAGCAGCAAATCTGTACAGGCCACCAAATCACGCACACAGGAGAACGGGAATTTAAGAACAAAGCGTTTATGATAGATTTCAGGAAAAAAAAATGCTAATAGGGTCAGGCTTTGCGCGACACCTGCATGACATTGAAGCGGTAACAAAAGACAAACAGAGAGTCTGTAAAAAGTTAAACTAATGCGGTCTAAGAATCTTCTGCTTGATAAAATGCTGGACAGGTTTTTATGCAACAGTTTAGGACTGTCAGAAAGCCAAGAGCAGTTCTCCACCTCCACTACGCATCTATACTTGTCGCTTTCGAATAAACCTAAGAGCTTGAAATCGCACACAGATCTGCTGGTATAACTCACAGTGAGTTCATTTGCTCAGCTCAGAAAAGCAGTGCAAGTATCAGTGATGATGACTATAAGATCGCATTCAAGAACACCACTTTTCACAAATTATAGCCATTATCGAGAGGGATTTCACTCACATACAAAGCCCTAAAATGAGATTTCAACCACTCATCCTCCTCAACATGATAATATTTCCTTAAAAACAGAATCGGACAAGAATATCAACAGTATCAAATGCGCTTCAATAATTTCCTCATTTTCAATCATTATCCACATCAATTTCAATGCTGAAGTAAGCCAGTTCCTGTGAACTGATTTGCGCTAAAACCTGTGCGTTTGTGATTTCGAAAATCCAAAAACAAGTAGCCTAAATACAAGTGTGCAATAATAGAGCACAATAAAAGATATTTTTGAACAGTTGACTTGGAACACAACAGCTAAAGCTAAAAATGACCATGTCAGCTATTACTTTAAAAATAAGACCGTTTGAGACCAAAATATAACTTTTTGGTCATAATTCCACGAATCGTATTTGGAGGAAGAAGAATGATGAGTACCATTCCAAGAACACCATCCCTACTGTGAAGCATGGGGCCATCATGCTTTGGGGGTGTTTTTCTGCACATGGGACAGGGCGACTGCACTGTATTAAGGAGAGGATGACCGGGGCCATGTATTGCGAGATTATGGGGAACAACCTCCTTTCCTCAGTTAGAGTATTGAAGATGGGTCGAGTCGAGGCTGGGTCTTCCAACATTACAATGACCCGAAGCACACATCCAGGATAACCAATGAGTGGCTCTGTAAGAAGCATATCAAGGTTCTGGCGTGGCCTAGCCAGTCTCCAGACCTAAACCCAATAGAGAATCTTTGGAGGAGCTCAAACTCTGTGTTTCTCAGTGCCAGCCCAGAAACCTGACTGATCTAGAGAAGATCTGTGTGGAGGAGTGGGCCTAAATCCCTCTTGCAGTGTGTTTAAATCTAGTGAAAAACTACAGGAAACGTTTGACCTCTGTAATTGCAAACAAAGGCAATACCAAATATTAACATTGATTTTCTCAGGCGTTTAAATACTTATTTGCAGCTGTATCATACAAATAAATAGTAAAAAAATATTGTGATTTCTTGATATTTTTTTTTAGATTATGTCTCTCACAGAGGACATGCACCTATGATGACAATTTCAGACCCCTCCATGATTTCTAAGTGGGAGAACTTGCAAAATAGCAGGGTGTTCAAATAATTATTTTCCTCAATGTAGTACCAACTGACTCCCTGTTTAGGTTTAAAAGCAATTTTTTTTTTTTTAAGCAATTTTCCCTTTAAACTTTGCCATACTGTACCTGATATGCATCCAAATTAATCAATAAATATATAATCGAATAGTGATATGTCAACATTTAATTTACTCCCATTAAGCTGCCAAAAGTCAGCAAGTCTGCTGTAAGGTCAGTTTTTTTGTTTTATTTGAATCTAGAATCGAGGACCCCCTCGAAAACGAGATGGCTCATCTCAAGGGGCTATTCCTCTTTAATAAAAAATGTCAAATAATAATAATAAAAGAAGTGCATGTTTTATAGCATTTTTAGGATTGAATTTTTTTCCTTTTTACATTTTAAAAAAATTAAAAGAAATAAAGTTCTTTCCTTAAATATTTTACTCGCACGCAAAAATATATATATAAAAAAAAATACAAAGAAAAATCATACAATTATTCTTCAGCTTAGAAACTGTAATATTGGGTTCGGTTCATTTGTGTTGAGACCATTCAAAGCATGTGTTGCAAAAGAAAGTGCAATGTATGTCAGCAGCACTGACTTGTAAGTGTATTGTGCACTCTGTATAATGTAATCATCCCCTGGTCAATAAAGAAATAACGATAATTTACTATGCATCTGCAAATGTAAAACGAGAAGCCAACATGATTACACTTTATCTGAAAAGACACAACACACCCTGAGCGCAAGACAACCCTCAACCCACTTCCTGTTTCAGAGTTTGTGTAACATGTTTGTTTTAGAGCCATTGCCAGTTTTTTTTATATATATATATATATATATATATATATATATATATTCATGCTGAATGCACACAAATATCAAAAACACCATTTGTATTTAAAAGAAATAGAGCAGTAGCAGTGAAGGAGACTAAACAACAAGTACACAACGGGAACCTAAAAAAAGTAGCAGAAATGCAAAACTAAATGGCACAAACTATTGAACCCAAAAAAAAGATGCTACGATCAGTCACAGTTTAAATAGTGGCAAAAACGAGACTTGAGATGTGAGAGTGTGTTAATACTTGCACACAAACCAGTGGAGCACGGCACCATCTCAGCCAGTGCCATCTGTCCCTTTTTGCCTTTTTTGTACATAGGATGGAGAAAACACGCTTTCTAACCACACACACACACACACACACACACACACAGCACTGCTGCCCAACCGTCTGCACTGTGGCAGGAAGGAGTGATAACGCATCTTCTTCCTGTGCTGTGCTCAGAAGCACTTTACAATGATGTGGTCCAATCAGCCCTCCTTAGAGACCCTCAAAAATCAGCTGACCTGCACATCAAGTCTAGCCTTAGTGCTGTATGTATGCCATATGCAGTCATATGACCCTGAAGATCACTACAGTTCACATTACTAGCTCCTCTGGGTTTCACAATAACACAGAAAGAAAAAAAACAACATCATGTTCCCTCTTGTTCACCCTTGTTTCAAAAACACCTTGTCATTTACAAGAAAAGAAATGCAATCAGGCCATTAGGTATAAAGGGAGGATTGTAGAGTGAAATCCAACAATGTCACAGTGTTCTAAATATTTTTTCAGGCCCTGCTGAGACTCCCGAAAACCTTTTCAAGCCCTCCACTAATTTTAAAAATGCATCTAAAATAAGAATAGTGCATAGTACAGCGAAAATAGTAAATGTAAATTTTAATTGTTTAATAATAAAAGAAAATTGGCAATTATAACATTTTACTACTACTACCAATAATAATAATAATAAAAGATAATTGTCCATTATAGTTAAATCAAATAATTAATTCTGAAGGATGACATTATCAGTTTCAGATTTGAACGTTCTGAGCAAAACAAAGTGTGGCAGAGAGTGTGCTGTGCACAAGACAGAACAAGCTAAATACCAAACCAAATTTAAAATTACAGCCAGCCAACAAGATAGGCTGCAGGCCATACTATGACCCAGGGCAGTGTGTGTACATATTTGAACCCATTGCTCCCCCTCAAACACTGACAAACCAGTATGATTTGTGATGCCCTGCCATTGCCAAAGGTCAGCATTTTACTCTCTCCCACAGCCACACACTGTGTACACTCAACATTCACTTTCCATTACTCTTCCTCTCTGGTACTAGACTGCAGACACTCTTTTAATCTCATTAGCTGGACAAAATCCCATCAGCTGCTCCCCATGGGTCCAGACAGCCAGGGGAATAAGCAGGAGTTCAGTGGACTGACATCTTGTAGTCACCATCATCCAAGCCCCGTTCACCTTGCGTCTCTATTGCATAATGTGATCATTCAAACTTTCAGATGCAACCTGGAATGGACAGAGCACATTATATTTGTAGTACACCTGCAAATTCCAACAGAATATCTATGGTATGCCTGATCAACGTGCAGTGACATGCATGTTAAGACTACAGTTAATAATAGGTGTAAATGGCAATCTGTTTTGGGAGACCAGAGCCAGGTTGTACCAAGGAAAAACAAGGCCACATAGACAAGGAGTGAATGGTTTGGCTGATGATGTGACGTCCCATTCGCCACATCCTGCCAAGGCAAGCTAATAATTCTTAAAGAACAAGAGCAATGAGTCAGATTTAGAAGACAAAACTCTATTGTCAAAATTCCTGGCAACACAGATATGAGTTTCATGCAGCAGCCCTGAGGGAGTTTGGCTGGGCACTGTGAATGAGATTCAATACTGAATGATGCTAGAGGGCCCATTTTTGCAAAAGTCAAGTTATGATTGATATCCATGTAACTAGAAAAATAAAATTAGCCTTTGGGCACCAAAACACATTCATTTACCAAATGCGCATTAGGGTTTTTCCACTGGTTCCAATCAGTAAGTCATTTTCTGAAAGTTTCAGTCATTTTATGCATTTCTCCACTAAAATGCATTGCTAACCTTCAGACTACAGAGCCAACTCAAATGAGATACAGAACAGAAAGGACATAAATACTTGGTTCCCAATTACTCTTGTATCTATGCATGACTGGTTTAGGTTTTAGATTAAGCCTTGAGTTTGTCTTATTCAAATTTCTACCTCAAGTTTTGTTTTGTACCATCGTTAGAAATATTTCCTGGGCTTTAACTGCTTCTCTAACCATTATAGTGTGCTCATTTGCATATACCAAAGCTGACTGAATTCTTACTGAGAGCAGAAACTCTGAGGGAGATTGGGACAGTAGTTGTACATGAGAAAATGTTTTAGTTCAAACACTTCTAAAGAATGTGAAAGTCTTCACCAATGTGTTGAGCCACTGACAGAAGCTGACATTGTGACTGGAATCTACACACGGATGTGAAACTTTAAATATGTTGAGGCTGAAAAAAAAATACCTGTACTGAACGTTTTAAAGGGAGTGTATGTGTGAAGGGTAGAAGAGGAACAGTCTACAGTTTCATTTGACTCCAGAGTACACCTTTGACCAAGAGAAAGTGCATGGTGTAAGATTTCACCTGTTAAAGCCAAAGTGGCACCATGGACACAACTGCAAAAATAATGTTTTTCAAAGAACCATCTCATTTTCCGTAGGCTCAGGCATGTTTGCAACATGTCGCAAAACGTTTTATCAAAATGAGAAGAAAACCAGTGGTTTTTAAACAATACTGTCAGGACACATCCTTTTTTGAAGCTTTTCAAACATGTTCAGACGGAGTACGAAACTTGATCTAGGCACTTTGTGGTACTTCACAACACAGCAGTCAGCATCTAGTACCACACCATGATCTTATCACGAGAAAGGGAGTGCATTTTGCAATTCAGAAATAATAAAACATACCGACAGAATTGCCAAGAGACATTGCTCCTGTCCATGGAATTTGATAAACATGTAGAGATGGCAAACCTATTCTCTCACGCCATTACACACTCATTTTCCCACACATTTTAAAATAAAAATACAAATAAAAACTGCTTCAAAGAAGATCCTATATGAAGACTAAAAGTGTCCAATACTAAACGGCTTGGAGTGTTTCAATTTGGGTTAACCTCAATGCATGCAAGGGGTCAACAGACCAAACACAAAAGATGACACTTTATTCTCAAACACCTGCATTAATGTGATGAAATGTATTATACAACAAATACTTACTAATTTGATTTGAGTCCAAGATAATACCACTGGGACACTACAGATAACAACTATCAATTGCGGCGGTACAGCTAGTCACTCAGTGGAAGTTCTATTTAAGCCTATGGAGCAAGCCTAATTTCTTCTCTTTCTCCATATAAGGACACATTTTTTGCAAAAGAAAAAAGGGTTTCCATTATCACTTTGCAGAGGCTGTCCCAGAGTCCTTGTTGGCATAATTTCATTAGTATCGAGCTCTAAGAATAGTCAAGAGACTAAGAGTAGTCCATGGAGTAGAACCTCAGTGTAAGACATTCAGCTCGAGTAGGTATATCACTGATGCACAGTGTTTTCTGTACATGAGAAAACACTGCATTTGAGAGTAGACTTGAACAGACTTGAATGAACAAACATACCTAAATGCTCATGATTCCATTTTAATCTGATATTCCTATGAATGAGAACTAAGAAAGAAATTCAGATATTGATGTTATCTTGGGAACCTTTTAGTTTTAACTTCTGTTGAGACACCTGGAATGACAGGCCTCCGGCATGTTCGTTTCTGACAACTGGACAGTTGATGCCGCAGGCTGTCATCTCATCTCCACATGAATAATCTGTGTGTACACAATCTTCGGGGCTTAGTTTCATCTGAAAACCCTGAGTGTTTTTGCCATCTGCTCTTAACTTCTGTGTAACAGAGATCGACACCTCTAATGAACGAAGGCATCATTAAAAAGCAACACATGTTTCTGGAATAAATTGTACTCCGAAAGCGGTTACATACGCGTGTATTGGTACCATTTGCCTGAGCATTCGCAATCTCTCAAGCAGATCATTGCTGAATACCCAATGAAGCCAATTTAACTGAGAATGTACACGTTTGATTAGACAATCCACTGCCAGATGATTCCCAAAACACCAAAACAAAGTGCTAATGACCACAAAGAACAGTGCAAAAGAGGAAAGGACGCTTTAAAAGACTAAAAAAATACACATTTACGTTTTTGTGGTTGAGTTTAATCACTACAAATAAATCATTATACAACAGTTATGTATAATGATCTAGTCAACACCAGTCTAGTTCTGTTCATCAAATTTGATTCAGTACTGATATAGTATCAAACTGGGGCATTTCACTCCTTGTTTCACTGTTTGTTACTTTGGAGTATGCAGAATTGAAGTGGACCATGTTTTGCTAAATCAAATGGAAGTTGAAGAATCTACATTTTCTCTCACAATGAGCATTTTGTATTTTCTTTCACTAGTTAGAAGTTAAACAAATATATTGCCATGACAACATTAGGCTGAAATACACTGGTGTGCATGTCAAAACATTTACATAAATTTCCACATTAAACCTGTGCTTACTCCTGCTTTTTTCCATGATACAATAATAAAAAGAAAGCCTGCTGGGCTATTAAAGTAGACCTAGTTTATGGTCAACGTGGGATGAATATTGAATGTCAACGTTCAATTTACAGCGTTCAAATGTCACACAATGAGACAAGAACCACACAATGCGTTGCAAACCAATGTTTATAAACGTATCTGCCAAATTAATAAATGTGGACAGACAGATGAAAGGACGGAGAGGCTGGGCTACGTAATTTGATGTATTCAAGCATCATATAAGGGCATATGCACAATGACACTGAGATAAGTACAATGATTTTTTTTTATGGTTACAAAATCAAACAAACCCTGTACGTTTTTGATTGCTTCAGTACGGAAGAAAAGGTCCACGTTTCGGGTCGACAAAAACCAGGTGTGAAAACATAGCTTTGCTATGCGTTTTCGGTTTTAATACACGCATCTCCAGGAAAACACATGACAGCTTTGGACCCTCAGAGGCTCAGACCTAACGTTAAGACCCGCACAACACAACAAGGTGAAGGTCTGATTAGTATTCATCTTCTGTTTCCAGTCTAAACGCTCACATAACGTTAACGTTACATCTCTACAATAAGTAAGATAACGTTAAACCATCTGAATTGATGGATCACTGCACCACCATTAAGTTTCAGCCTAGTATCCCACAGTTAGCTCTTGATAGCACCCTAGCTAGCATATTGCACCTCACCACAATAGACGACGAGGGGGTCGCTGGGTTCACTCACTGGCTGCTGTTGCTGAATCAAAGCGGGGAAACTCACCATCTGGGTTTCCTTATCAGCCTGATGAAGAGAGAGAAGACGAGAGATCTGATGTCTGTTCCGCTCACTGTGTTCAAGAGTCGGTTGAAATCTATTTATCTGTGGTCAAAAATGATGTTCTTCTTCTCCGGCTGAGCTAAATGAAATGTACCAGCACAAGCTCTGATCGGCCGAGCCGTCTAGCTAGAGAGCAGAGCTTGACGTGCTTTCCCCCCACCTCACTTTTTTTTTCTTTTTTTTTTTTTTTCAACGGACGTTTTTTTTCTCCTCCTCACCATCACATCACGCCTTTTTCTATTCAGCAGGATGTCGCACGCCATTGGCCGCAGCTCGTGCCGCGTCCTCGCGCTCTCCAACCTCAAAATTTCGGTATTTTGATGGTATTTTGCTACGGGTACTTTTGTACGAAATGAACATATTAACGTTACCTGGATTCCTAATTTCTCGTCTGTTTATTTACCTTACTCTTCCCTTCCTGACTAGTAAGTTAAGCAAGCATTTAATAGGGCTATTCGTTATAAAGTAATGTAGAAAAAAAAATTGTTTTAGCTTTGACGGACAGTGTCTTTCTCTACTCTACAACGTAATGAACGTTGAAGGGTTTAGTTCTGCTAAAAATGAAACTCAATCTTTAAATATGTCAAGACGACAACAACAAAAACTCAAGGCATGCAACGTTAAAGGAACAGTTCCCTTTGAAATTAATTTTTGGTATGTTTTAGCTTACCTCAAAAACATTATTGCTAATTTCTAAATCCTCATTTCCTTTCCCCACATCTCCACTCCACCCCTTAGAAATGAGGACAAACAAATTGACAAAAATTGTATCAGCTGGTGTTATCCTGACATGCCATATACTGTATATAGTTTGTTTAAACTATGACAGTAAAGTATTAGATTAAAGTTGTGAGTGATATGAAGGCAGAGGGAAATTAATACATTTGCCAAGTTGTTCAACAAGGACTTGCACAGAGACACCTGTGCATCCTCACTTATTGCACCACTGAAAGCCTTCTCACTCCTTCCTTGCAGTGCAACTGAAGAAGAGATTTATCAAGATGCTTTTTGATCAGTTTCCAGGTCACAGGCTGGATGCCTGAGAGGCGAGGAAGCATCAATTTCATGATTGAAAAGCACCAAATGTCCCATTAGCAATTAAATTTGTTTCCAACTCTGAAGTTGTAGATCTAGTAACTCAAGACAGTATGATAAGAAAACTTTTTATTTTGACATTCTGCAATTGTACACTATAGTCTGAAACCACGGTCCTTGACTGTGATGGGTCCAACAGATGCCCTGTCCCACCGCCAATCTGCTGAAAAAAGTGAGAACACTAAAGCAAATGACCGTACAAACATTAACTTTCATAAGCTTAAATCACATGCCTTTAATTTGCTGATCCCGTCCACTCCTAATGCCACAGGTTTTATCACAGCAGTCACACACCTGATCATTCTCATCAGCAGATATCCACCTGTCAGACAAGCCAAATATCAAGCTCACACACTAAAGTTGAAGTAATTCAGATCAGTGAAAACATACCTATTAGCAGAGAAGGAGCAAGCTTTCTGCTCAGCATTAGTAGGCTCAGATTCTGCAGCCACCTTGAGAGCACAAGTAATGTAGACCTACAAAAAGCAAAATTATTTGTACACTCCACGCTAACATGCACCCAAACAGCTAATCCACATACATACTTTCCCACTAATCTCTTGCTGGAATCTGAAAGCCACCAACTGAAACTGCAGCTTGTCAATTTGAGTCCGAGGCAAAAAGTGAGAGCCTGAGCCTGTGAGTTTGGCATCAACTAGACAACTAGGGTGGGAAAACAAACTAAATAAAATTCAGACGTTCCATGATGTCACATTGTGTAGTTCTTGAAGGACCTCGACTCACCCATTATTCTCAATAAAGGAGTATCTGAGTGTAGCACTGGTATCAGGGACTGAAGTAGCCACACAGCTATCCACAAACACACGAAGAGGAATGTGGTTGTGTGACATCAGTGAAGCCTCGATATTAATGGAATCACCCAGGAAATACTGATTAGAAGGTCTTTCAGATCTCCAGTCATCTGCAAAGAAATTATTTTAACCCATATTCACAAGCTCTGGCAGGTTACAAATATTTACATTATACCAACCAGACATGAGCTTGAGGGAGAAGACCAAAAATTCCTCTGCAACCATAGTTGAGGCATATTTCTGCCAAGTGGGCATTAAGGCATCGCTGCTAACATCAAGCACTCTGTCAAGGTATAAGAGGCAATCCCTTTTAGTGCAAATTAAATTAATATATTCTGCAATCCTGAGTTAACTGAAATCTTACCTTGGATAATGACACTCGATACCAACCACCGCACCTCTGCTCCTGACAATAGGACCAACATGTGAAGCTTCTTGTGGGGTGTAGATAATGTTGAACTTATAGATAAGCGTATCCTCAGTCACCTAAACAGAAAGGTTAATAGAAGAACAGTCACATGGATGGTTTAAAATACTTGTTGTCAAAACATAACCTTACCATTGATGTGCCACCACATCCATGCAGTTCAGACTCAAAGATCAGCACTTGAGCAGAAACATCCTCTCCAGTTGAAGTGCAGTCTCCTAGTGTAAAACCAGAGGACAACAGTGGGCGCCCAGTCCCAAAGAAGTCCTTCATCACTTCCACATATACTGTATTCTCTCCACACTGAGCAGCTACACTGTTGGCAGGGACAGGATAAGGCAACTCAAAAGGAATGTCTGGCTGCTGTGGTTCATCTGGTAGACTTGGAAAGCTCCACGTCAGTTTTGCCACTGGACCCTGCAACAGCTCTTTTAACTGCACACCCATAAGATCTTGAGAAGACTTTCCAAAATCAGTCCTGACTCGTGTCTGGGCAGGAAACCTTTGTGGTGCAAATGCAGTATTACTGGGAACCAAAGGCATCCTGGAATCAGCCCATTGAGAAGCTTTAGCTAATGTTCTAGGCCTAAACTCGGTTGGACTCAAATTTACTGCCAATTTACTCAATCAATATGTCACAGGTGAAAGTCATTGATTATTTATTAATTAACATATAAGAGCATGCTATTTGCAACTATTATCTAAACCAAATGATTTCTTCTTTTAAATATCAAAATGAAAGGATCAATTCTCTGAAGTCTTTTTGTGTCTTCCTTTTTTATTAATTCAGAAACATGGCCACAGACAGAATTGCACACTAGAGTATCCAGAATAATAAAGTTTAGTATGTTTCAGGTTTAGTTGTAACAAACATTCTTCCCTCACGTCAACAGCAATCTTTACAAGGGACTGAAATAGAGAAATTTAGTTCAGAACCAAAGGAATGCAGGATCATAACATTATTTGATTATATATTCACTGATATGTTTTCTCCTCATTACAACTGCTATGTTTAGATTGATCAGAGTGTTTGTGGATTCATTGTAGACTTTTTTTTATTTCTTGAACAATACTATATGCTGGTCAGGACCAACATACTGTAATCTTAACAGTCTACTCAAATATTTTTTAATTTAAAATATTAACAGGTATGAACAAACAACAAGCTCATTAAATGGACATTAAGAACTTAAAATGCTGTTTGAAACATGACATAGCACACATTAAAACACGCTGGAGAATCTTAAAGAAAAACTATATAGTTCACAAACAGTTTGTGAAGCAGCACACAGTAATAAAAAAGTACTCAACTATTTGAAATCTGATTATATTTCCAGTTACACAGCCAGTCAACATTTTCTCATTCTTTTAGTCTCTTCAGAAAGAAACAACTTGTGTGCCACTGAACAGGTATCTACTTTAACACAACACTTGGGTTCAAGATGCATTTGGTTATTCATCCTGCCAGTTCACAGCTCTAAATGGTTGAAACAGCCTTAAAAAAAACAAAACAAAAAAAACAGACAAATAAAGACATTGCTGGGGAGACTGGGTCAGCTGTGTGTTCAGATTTGAGAACAGTTGACTGCTTCTATCCTCTACACTTTAATTGTCCCATCTGCTTTTCTTGCGTTTGGGGGGATCAGGAACTGCAAAGCTGTCTTTATGAGTCCCTGACCTCTCACCTCCATCTCGTTCTGACCGTCCCTCTCTGTCCCTATGGCTCCCTTCACCGTTTCGGCTATCGCCATGACGATCTCTGTCACTATAGCGGTCCCTTTCCCCATAGCGATCACGGTCTCCCCCAGTATGCCTGTCACCATGACGATAATGACTTTCTCCATGACGACCCCTGTCATCAGCATTCCTATCACTACGGGACCCCTCTTTTGAAGAAGAGCTAGAGTAAGAGTCTGAAACCGAGCTCAGGGAGCCAGCACTACTGAAGCCGCTCATTTTGGTGCCTGCGCTGAGGGCAGGAAGCGGCAGCATAGAGGAAACTGAGGATGACGATGGAGAGTAGGACAGTTGGGGTCTGTCAGGCCCCTCAGGTGCTCCTGAAGGCAAAGAACTTAGACTTCCTGCACTGGTCCATCCAGAGGAGCTGCTGGACTTTGTAGTAAGTTTAGGAGGAACACCAGATGCCGCCACAAAGTGGTTTTTATACTGAGCCTGAGAAAAAACAAGAGCATGTTTAATCATCTCCATAGATTGGTATATTTACATGTATGTAAACTACATCTATACTGAAAAACTTGAGTTTTTTTTTTTTTTTTTACGTGAAATGCTTGCTTCAGGGCAGACATACGGTCTCCCATGGCTCCAGTGGAGGGTTTGTAGGACTCATAGTTACCAAGAGCAGCACCACTACTACCACTGCGCTCCTGATTTAAGAAAATTAAAAATGCTTTTATGATTATTGCACAAACATGGATAACTAAACTGGTTTAACTGGTTTAAAGGATAAAAAGTGCAGAAAAAACACAAACAGACATTTATATAATAATTATATAATATTATAATATAATATTATTAATATATATATATATATATATATATATATATATATATATATATATGAAGAGTTCAGATGCAAAAGCCTCTAAGTGCCATTTGAAATTTTCTTCTAGAATGATAATTTTTATCAAGCTTGTATATTTAAGTTCAGTGATTTCACTTAAATGGCAATGATAATTACCTATTAATTGTTATTTAAGTGAAATTACTGAACTTAAATATACAAGTTTGATAAAAATCATCATTAAAGAAGAAAATTTCAAATGGCATTTAGAGGTTTTTGCATCTGAACTCTTCATATATATATATATATATATATATATATATATATATATATATGGGTGTGTATATATATATATATATATATATATATATATAAAAACTAATAATAAAATGAAGCAAAAGTAATAACAAACTAACAGTGGACTCAGATCCAAGGCCAGGTCTCTCTCTGTAACCCAGGCCTCCACCTCCAATATTTAGTTTCTTCCCTTTCCCTCCCTTAAAGCGTGATTTTCGGAACCAGGGATTCTTAAAAACAGAAAATGCAAAGTTGATGAAAAAAAACTGACAAAACATACACAATGAAATATGTACATTGTAAACAGAATGTAGTTTTACCTGCATTGCCAGGTCCATCAGCTCCTTTGAAACACTCTGATTGGCTCCCTCTAAATTGCGAACCAGGTCACCAGCGAATGAAGTGTCTTTAGTGGTGAGCAGAGTGTAAGCAACACCTTTCTCTCCTGCACGACCTGTTCTACCAATTCGATGTGTGTGTGTGTCAATGTCTCGTGCTACATCATAGTTCACAACTGTACGGATAGATGGAATATCCAACCCACGAGCTGAAAAATGCAAGAGAAATTTAATTTTAATGAATACAAAGATATTTATAATAAAGGGAATAAGTAACAGGTAACAGTTCATCTATATTTAACAGATAGATATATACACAAAATAAGTAATGCCTCAAGTGACACTAACCAGCAACATCGGTAGCTACCAATATGGGCAGATTCTTCTTCTTAAAGTCAGCAATGACTTTGTTCCTCTCACTCTGATCCATGTCTCCATGGAGCAGCCCCAGGCTATAACCTTCCTGATTCAAATTTGTAGCCAGCTCCTCACAGTTAGCCTTTTTAGTGACAAAGACCAGCACTGAACCAGCGGAGGTGAACTCCACCAGCCTACGCGTCAGCCAACCCCACTTCTCCTTCCCAGTCTGCAGCACCTCCACTATCTGAGTGACATCTTCATTAGCCTGGCAGGATGAGAAAAGAAGATTAAATAAACGTATTCAAATACTATGTGTACAAATTCCTCTATAAGAAACAAGGGTTGCACCTCTCCTATATCTCCCTGCACAACACGGATGGGGTCGACCAAAATATCTCGTGCCAGCTTTTCGATTTTCTTCCGAAATGTTGCACTGAATAACAGAGCTGTGAGAGATCAGGTCATGAAGGCCTTATAAGTACAATCAATGGAGTCATGATGGAAACTAGTAGAAATGATTTAAAGCAGCACAATAATATGAACAACGAAAGATACTTACTCTGTCGATCAGGTCTGACATGGCTGGCAATGGATCTCACTTGATATTCTGTATAATGCAGGTTAAGACAAGGGCATCACAATTGTACTTTTTCACCCAAAAATACAAAAATTCTACCACAATTTAGTCCCTCATATGTTGGTCTGAACCTATTTGATTAACTTTTATTCATGTATAAACACCGATAAATGCACATACATAGAGCACATTTTCTATTTATCATATTCGATGTGCTCTATGTACGTGTGTTTGGATCAATGTTTATATGTGAATGGAAGCCTAACCTAAATCTGTTTACCATTTAAGCGATCACGTCTCTTCAGAAGAGACTGAATTCATTAGATTTCATTAAAAAGTTGTTCATTTCTCTTTGGGGAAGATCACCCCAAAAGATAAAAATGATCATTTAGGGTGAACTATCCCTTTAATTCAATACTTTGGTCACCAAACAGCAATTGTGAAATGCGCTGGTGTTTTGACTTAGCTTTTAATAGGAACAAAAAAAACATGGTATAAAAATGAATGAGATGATACAAAAAAAAGTGACATTTCACACATACCAAAGCCCATATCAAACATGCGATCAGCTTCATCAAACACCAGGTAGGTCACTCGCTGCAGAGATGTAGCTTTCTTCTTCACATGATCGATTAGACGACCCTATGGGAGAAAAGCAAACATATGAATGAAATCCTCATACGATATATATATATATACATTCACTTTCAAAGACAAACCAAGTAACACCTTTAGTAAATAGAAACAAGTGGAATGAGGTTGTGAATTGAAAGATAAATGCCTGGTTTCACAGATAAGGCTTAAGCCTAGTCCCAGACTAAACTGCATGTGTGAGTAACTTGCACTGAACATAGCTCAAAGCCATTGTTTGATCTCAAAGATGCACACTAGTAATGTTTTTTTCTAAGGCAAGTTTATAAAAGCTACTTAAAAGTCCTAATTTAACTAAGGCCTAATCCTGGCTTAATTTAAGCCCTGTCTGTGAAACCAGGCAGAGATGTTCTTACTGGGGTGCAGACAACAATTTCAGCTCCTTCCTGTAGAGCTTTGGCTTGTTCCCACATGCTGCCACCTCCGTACACTGCCACTGAGCGAAGGCCATATACCTTGCCGAATCGCTTGCATTCGGAATGGATCTGAACCACAGAGGTAAGCAAAGTGATTAAAACCAAAAACCTTGAATCATGACCAAGACTACTTTATAAGAACATATTTAATTATTTTGCTCAGTAGCACCTTCCCCAAACATGAAGGAGCTTTCTTTCTCACTGACCTGTTGACAGAGCTCTCTAGTGGGGCAGACAATCACAGCAATAGGTCCTTCTCCCGGCTCCAGCTCCTTCTGGTCCATGATGTGCACCAGCATTGGCCAAATAAAAGCTGCAGTTTTTCCGCTGCCGGTTTTGGCAATGCCAATCATGTCTCTGCCACTCAAAGATATGGGAACACCCTAGATAAACAACACACACATTACTTTAGAAATATATTCCAATACCTTAAATGTCTACTTTGATAA